TCAAAACAGTCCAGAAAAAGAACAACAAATGTTCAGTCAACAAATACTTACGAACTGCAGGCACTAGGCAAAATCGCTGCTGTCATGGAACTTAGATGGGGAAGGTAGATAATAAAAGTAAGTCATAGGTACATGCAAAAATAGATAAATAGATGCAAAAATAAAGTAATTTGAGATTGGGAGAAAAGGTATGAGGAATATAAATGGAAGCCAGTCATGGAGATTTTTTTTAGACAAAGTGGACATTTTAAACTAAAATGTTAGAGATTCGGACAAGCAGCATTGAGCTCAACTTGTGTGCGAGAGGCCAGAATGTGATAGCTGGCACGTGTGGACAGTGATCCTTAAGGAGTGCTCAGGAAGGTCTGAAAAGGCTCTGTGGGGTGTGTGGTAAGTGAGCTCAATTTGGAAGGTTGAATTCCTGTCCACAAAGTGCTAGAGCTTTCTAGGCAGAGGGAACACACAGGTAAAGGCAGGCTCTCAGGAGATTCACCTGCCTCCTTGAAATCAAAATGACTGCCGATTTTAGAATGAGCTTTGGGGCTGGCCCTGTGGCTTAGCGGTTAAGTGTGCGCGCTCCGCTACTGGCGGCCCGGGTTCGGATCCCGGGCAAGCACCGACGCACCGCTTCTCCGGCCATGCTGAGGCCACGTCCCACATACGGCAACTAGAAGGATGTGCAGCTATGACATACAACTATCTACTGGGGCTTTGGGGGGGAGAAAAAAGGAGGAGGATTGGCAATAGATGTTAGCTCAGAGTCAGTCTTCCTCAGCAAATGGAGGAGGATTAGCATGGATGTTAGCTCAGGGCTGATCTTCCTCACAAAAAAAAAAAAAAAAAAGAATGAGCTTTGCAGCTTTCCTTCTCTAAATTTTGTGTAATTCCAAAGAAATTTGGCATACCAGTTGCAGTCTCAGTGGTGGGTGAGATACGGTGGTTTGGGGGAATGGAAGCGTCTGTGTCCACTTTCATAACACTGTTGTAAAGCTGACTCCCTGCACTCTCTTCCCTCTGCCCTGCTCCGTTAGTTGCTTTGCATCTGATCATTGCAATTTAATAACATTTAATGACACTTCCCTGCCAATTTTAGTGCCAGCTAACCTTGGCAGTTAAGCCCAGATGCATGTATTAAGGAGGGGACAGCCAAGGCCTCCAGGTTGGGAGTTACTTGGCTGGAAATCCCATTCCCATTGGGAAATAGATTTTTAAAATAAATTTGGCACTGGAAGCAGTGCCATCCTTTTGTAAAGCTGTGTCAATAATTGTAAACCCTCACAGTCATGTCCCCCCCACCCTCGGCCAAGCTGACAAATATTCAGGTGTCAGCATATCCTCTTGATGCCACCTTCTGTTGACCCTGTGGGATTCGCTTGCTGTTTGGGTTGGCGCTGGAGCACAATCTTCTGTTTTATGTAAGAAAGCACATGAGAGAAGTCCTTTGTGCTTTGCCTCTCCGAGTGGGTGCTGAGCAAGAGGTCTTGTGTACCCCATCATTTTCAGTACGGTCAGAGCTAGTGAACATTTCTGTGGCCTGGTAAATGTTTTCTAACTATTGGCAAGGTTTTTCTTTTCTTTTTTTTTTTTTTACCCAGTGCCATTTTGCTCCATGCTGGGATCATAATGACCCAGCTTTGGTTTAAGATGAATTTTGAAAATATGTGTACGTGGTGGGACTAAAGGATTTTCAGAGAAAACGAGCATGCGTGTGACACTGGCTGATGAAATATAGTGCCACATATGCTCAGTCAGGCCGGGGAGGTTTACCCTTGGCAGATTGTACCAATAAGAAGGCAAAGCTGGTTGAGATCTGCAGAAATCTACTGAATGCTCTCCTCTGAGAAGGCTTGTTACTAGCATGTGACATAATACAGATCCTATTTTCTGATATATTTTTCATTTTTGCTTTAGAATGTCAAGGGAAAAGGCTGTTTAACATAGCTGGCCACTTGGCTTTATTATTCATATTGCTCCCTCTCATTAATTTTTTTAAACACAGTGTTAAATGTTAGCGTCAGGTGTTGGCAGCCGTGCTGGAGGGAACAGATTGCTTTGAAATAAACACAGCTGGAAACTGACCACATATTGTTTTTCTTTCTTTTAAGAAATGAAAGAGGCATTTATAGAAAAGCTGGGGAATGCTGCCTGTCCAGGATTACTCTATAGATTTATTCCTCTGAGTCTGGTTAATGATTAATGTCCCGCCTTGGTGTCCAAATGGACCACTTCCCTTCCTCCCTTCCTGAAGTTGCAGTTCCCTGGGAACAATGAACTTGCAGAGCTTTGCTGCAATCCGCACTTGAGGAGGGGGTGGAGTCTGTTCAGTTCTGTTTCTGCTGAAGTGTGGTCTTCCCAGCTAAGCAAAGAATGCTTTCAGTGGGGTTTTCTGCTAGCCCTCCTTGCAGCCTTGTAAACCTCATCAGAGTCAATTTGCCTGGCCTCTTGCTGCGCTACTCTTTCAGTGATGGCACGTAAGTGAATTATGGAATGTTGGTGTGTGTATTTGTGATTTTCGTTTTCTTTGATCTACTTTTAAAAATGAAGGCAGGGTATTTTCTAACTGTGTAATTCAACTAGGTTTTGTGTTTTTCTTGCTGCTGTCAGAAGAGAACCAGGGGCCTTCTTTTTCACGCCTCGAAGGCTTTATTGTTATTTTGGTCATTAATTCCTTTAGTCTCTGTGCCAAAAGGTTTCTCTCTCTTTCTCTCTTGTACTATTTCTTTGTATAGACGTTTTGATGATTTGTTGAATTATAGTGTAATAATTGATTGTTGTTAATGAATTGCTAATAATTAATTGCTATGGTATAATAATTCATTGCTACGTTAAAGTTTTTCAAAGGAGGTTTTCTCTATAAATAGCTATTTCTCTTGACATCTATCTTGAAAAAGCTGAGTTAGCAAGAAAGCTTGTAGAAGAGAGAGATCTAGGAATTTAGAGTAACTTTTGCTTAAATGGCAACCGGGGGGCCTTTTTCACAGGCAAATTATATTTTCCTTTCCTTTCCTTTTGTTTTATCTGAGAGAATTATAGGGTCATATCTGTTGGGATTACCTGAGTTACCTGTCACCTGTATTGGAATATGTGTGTAGTTATCTGGACAAGTTGAATTTGTCATTCATTCCTTACTAGAGTATCTCATTTAAATTGGCATTCCCTATCTATTTGACTGAGGCCCATGGATGGGAATTGTTGGAATTAGGCTATATATCTATTTGGATTCTTGCACTCAGATCCCCCACTTCACATTGTTCCTGGCACGTAGTACAGCTCTATGTATTGTCAATAACTAACTTAGTAACGTGCGAAATGGCCACCTGAGCTCCGGGAGTAGGAAAGTAAATGGTGAGTTTTGACTCATAAAATGTATAGATGAGCCCAAATGAGGAGAGAATTGAGAAAACCTGTTATAAAGAAGGTAAAAGGCTTTCTCTATGTTGATTGCTGCCAAGCATATTTTTTCCTGGCTTTATACGACTTGGCAGAATTGATCTAGATTTTGGATTTTGAATGCATGAAAAAAAAGACTCAGTTATACGTTATATTGGGCTACGATAATATGGCCAGTTCTGTTCATGATTTCTTAAATGACTTATTTTTTAATGAGACCATACAGATTCTTTTTCTAAATGATTATAATTAACAGCTACTCAAGGTATCTCAGTGCCCTTTCACGTTATCTCATTTGATTCTCACATCAGTCCAATAAGGCCCGTATTGATGTTACTTCCCCATTTTACAACTGAGGATATCGAGCGTCAGATGAAAAGTGACTCTGGAGGTCACTTGGTGAGTGGAGAAACCAGATGTAAGCTGTTTTTTTAAAAAACTCAAAATCCTGTACTCCTTCAACCTACTGTCTCTGGTCATCTCTAAACTTCTTCCATTGTAGAACAGAGAAAGAACTCCGACCTGGGTGTCCGGAGACCTGGATTCTCATTTTGACTGGGTCATAGCTGGTTCTGTGATGCTGAGCAATCACGGAAGTCTTTGGATGTCATTTTCCTGCAAGGAGGTCACATTGTTTGATTTCTTAAGTTTCTTCGCAGCTTTGGAATTTCTCGCCAGGGCCTTGCCTGGGATTGTCAGCTCTGTAGTGCTCATCGGCAGTATAGAGAAGAGGGGAGAAAGATGTGGCCATTCCATCCAGCTCTGCTTTGGTTTCCCCTGCCAAGCACCAAGAGACACAGGATCTCTTTCGATGAGGAAAAATCCCAGGTCCTTAACAAGACTCTTTTCTCTGATCCGCTTCGTGAGCTGGCATTTCCCAGTCTGTTCTTTTTTACTCATCAACAAAAGTATTTGAGCCACACTCTCTTGTGGTTTCAGTGCAGGAGTGAACACATCAGTTACATTCCCATTTGGCCCCCAAAGAAGCGATAACCTCCTTGCATGAGCCCATCTGTTATCTTAATCCTTTTTGAAACAGGACAAATGTAAATAAATGTTACTCCATCCCTCTCTTAGGTGGTTCAGCTTATGGCAGTTGGTTGAGAATGGGCAGGGCAGAACAGTGGCGAGTATTTTTTATTCTGCCTCCAGGGCTAACTCTATCAGTTGTTCAGAGATCAATTTAGACAATTGTGGGATACTGAGATAAGGGTGACTACATTTGACTGACATTAAAAAGAAAAAAAACTATAACCAACACCATCTACCATTACCATTGTTATGTACGAGAAAGAACAAAGAAGTTGGAATGACAACTCTCAGTAGGGAGAAAAGGGCAGGTCTTCCTAGATAAAGAGAGTTGGCCTTCTTCTACTGACATTTTTACCTGGACTAGTGAAAAACCTCATCCATGACCACAGTCTGCATTTGGGAAGCTCTGCTCAGCCTAGTGCTTGGGTGCTTGTCACAGACTTCCTGGTGGGAAGAGTTCTGAATGGGGAGATGAGATCTACATTCCCAGATCAGCCCTTTTCTTCTGCCGCAGTCTCTGCCCCTGAGCTCGTTCTGTGATTTAGACCTTAACTTTGTCCTTACGTCTTTCCCCATAGGCAAGAAGCGAAACCCTGGCCTTAAAATTCCAAAAGAAGCATTTGAACAACCTCAGACCAGTTCCACGTAAGTTGGCAAGATCATCATCTTAATCCAAACACTTGTACTTTACGGATGTCCAGGGAATGGGGGTTCATTCTTTGGACTGGTGAGCAATACCTTGACTATGGAAATAGTTGTTACAAAGAGGAGTCCTTTAAAGGGGGAAGCCATGTGCTTATTGTTCTAAGACTTGAAATAATCACACTCGGTCAGTCGGTCTATATTGAATGGGTAACTTTGAACTCAGTGTCTCACATTACTGGTTGGCTGAAAATGGAGTGTCACAAATGCGTTTGGCAGATGGCGTCCTATGTATGTCCAGAAAGGTCCATGGATGTGGATTTTTTGCCTTTTCCATATAGAGTTGAGCAAACAAGCAAATCCCTGTGAGAGCCGCTACTATAAAACTTCGGTTGAGACGGAAGGATGGTATTTGGTGAGGACTCAGCATCCTGACACCTCGATCCCATCCCATATAAACAGAAGGCAAAATGAAGTAAAGGAACACTTTGTTTATTAGCTGAGGCTTTGGTCCAAATCCCTAAGTGAGCTCAAGTCCCAGTGAGGCAGGACACCCTCTCCCTCAGCCTCCCTCTTGTTTCTTTGTCTCTCTGTGGAGTGGGGAGGGTAACTCCATCCAGCTGAAGGTATGATCGCCTATCAAAGCATATGCATGGAAGGAATGGAAATTCCAAGGAAAAGAAATCACAGCGGAGGTACTAGAGAGGCAGAGCAAGTACAAAGGGAGACCATTCCAATGGAAGCTTGAGTTTTTAAGGCTTTTGCTCATCTCTACAAAAGTGCCTTCCTTTGTAAAGATTTCTGACTTTAACCCTGATTCATCCTATCAGAAAGTGCACCCCCTGGTGTTGGAATATGCTAGTAAAAATGCTCATGTCACTTAAGATTTTGCCAGGGACATTGGTCATTGCATTCCGTGCATCAATATAAAAAACTTTCCACTGAAGAACCTCTAAGAACAGAGCAGAGTGGAAGGCGATTCCTCAGGGTTCTGGACTGTAGCTCAAGGGCCAAACTCAGGTTAGACTGTTCCTCTCGTGAGGATCTGCAGGAGGACGTTCTTTCCATGTCTATATCAAGATTTGTAGTTTTTGGTCCCTCTGGTTGTTTTTTCCCTGTGGACCCAGGAACTGTGTAATTAGTAACTTTTCCTCTATGATTGGTTTCTCAAGAGCTTAGAGTCAAATATGTGGCTTCCCTATACTACCTGTATAGGACTTGATGGGATACACTTTAAAATTTTTTTATTTTGAGGTATTTGTAAATTCACAGGAGGTTGCAAAGAAACGTACAAGGAAGTCTCATGTATCCTTCCCCTAGCTCATGTCCTCCTCCTTGATGTTAACATCTTACACAACTCTAGTACATTATCAAAACCAAGAAGGTGGCATTGGTGCAAACCATAGAGCTTATTCAGATTACACCAGCGATACAAACACTCATTTGTGTGTATGCAATTTTATCACATGTGTAGCCTTGTATAACCACTACCATAATCAAGATATTCGACTGTATCAACACTACAAGACTCTTTTGTGTTACTCCCTTATAGCCACACCCACCTCTAACCCCTGTCCCTGTTATCCCTAATCCCTGGCAACCATTAATCTCTTCTCCATCTCCGTTTTGTTATTTCATGATTCTTATATAAATGGATCATGCATCTCCTTTTTGAGATTGGCTTTTTCAATTCACCATAACTTCCCTGAGGTTCATTCAAGTCGTTGCACGTATCAATAGTTCATTCCTTGTCATTGCTGAGTACCATTCCATGGTATGGATATACCACAGTTTGTTTAACTCTTTAACTTTGAAGGAGATATAACTAGTTTCCAGTTTTGGGCTATTGTGAATAAAGCTGCTATGAACATTCATGTACAAGTTCCTCCATGAAAATAAGCCTTAATTTCCCTGGGATATATGTGTCTAATAGTGCAATTGCTCGGTCATTTGGTAAGTTCATTTTTAGTTTTAAAAGAACTGCAAAAGTATTTTCCAGGGTGATTGTACGATTGTAATTTTACATTCTTACCAACATGTATGAATGATTCAGTTTTCTCTGCATCCCCGCCAACATTATCACTATTTTCATTTTAGCCATTCTGATAGATGTATAGTGATATATCAGTGTAGTTTTAATTTTCATTTCTCTAATGGCTAATGATGTTGAATATTTTTAGGTATTTATTTTCCATCCATACACCTTCTCTGGCAAAATGTCCATCTATGCACGTCTCTGCCTATTTTCTAATTAGATTAGTTTTTTTTTTTTTAATGTTGAGTTTTGGGAGTCCTTTATATATTCTAGACACAAGGAGTTTGTCAGATATGTGATTTAAAAACATCTTCTCTCAATCTGTAATTGGTCTTTTCGTCCTGTCATTTTGGTGAAGTCCGATCTATCAATTTTTCCTCCTATGGATCATGCTTTTGGTGAGAAGTTTTAGAACCCTTTGCCTAGTCACAGGTCCTAAAGATTTTCTCCTATGTTCTTTTCTAGAAGTTTTATAGTTGTACATTTTAGATTTAAGTCCATGATACATTTTGAGTTGAATTTTTGTACAAGGTGTGAGATTTATGTTGAGCTTTATTTTTTGCAAATGGATTTCCAGTTGCTCCAGCATCATTTTGTTGAAAAGGCTATCCTGCCTCCATTGAATTGCTTTTGCTCTTTTGTCAAATATTGATTAGCATATTTGTTTGGATCTGTTTCTGAGTTCTCTGTTTTGTTGATCTATGTGTCTACCCTCTGCCCATATCACACTGTCTTGATTACTGTAGCTTTACAGTAAGCTTGAACATTGGGAAAAATGATTCCTCCCATGTTGTTCTCCTTTTTCAAAATTATTTTGGCTATTCTATGGCTTTTTTCTTTTCATATAAGTTTTAGAATAAGCTTGTCTATATCTTCAAATAAACTTCAAATAGACTCTTTACTACATTGAGTCTTCCAATCCATGAATATGGTAGATTTCTCCAAGTATTTAGATTTTCTTTGATTTCTTTCAATAATATTGTATACTTTTCATCATACAGATTGTCTGCGTTAGGTTTTGGTAAGACTTGTCCCTATGTATTTCTTTTTTTTTTTGGAGCAATTGTAAATGGTATTCCATTTTTGATTTTAGTTTCCACTTGTTCATTGTCAGTGTATAGAAACGCAATCGATTTTTCTGTGTTGATCTTGTATCCTGTGACTAAACTCACTTAGTAGTTCTCGGAGCTTTTTTGTAGATTCCTTAGAGATTTCTGTGTAGACAGTCATGCCTTCCACAAATAGAGACAGTTTTATTTCTTCCTTTCCAAACTGTATTTTTTTGCTTTATTTCAGTGGCAAGAATGTCCAGTACTATGTTAAATAAGACTGGTAAGAGCAGACAACCTTGCTTTGTTCTTAGAGGGAAAGCATTCAATCTTTTATCATTAAGCATGTTAGGTTTTGTAGATGCTGTTTATGATGTTGAAAAAGTTCCCCTCTAGTCATAGTGTACTGAGAGTTTTTATCATGAATATGTGTTGAATTTTGTTGAATGCTTTTTTGTGCATCAGTTTATGATCAGATTTTTCTTCTTTGTACTGTTGATATGGATTATATTGATTGATTTGTAAATATTAAACTATCCTTGCATACCCAAAATAAATCCCACTTGGTTGTGGTATATATTTTTTCAATACACTGTTGAATTCAGTCTGCTAAAATTTTGTTGAGGATTTTTGTGTTTAAGTTCATGAGAGAGGTTAGTCTGTAGTGGTTTTTTTTTTTGGTGTGTGCCATTATTTTCTGGTTTTGGTATTAAGGTAATACTGACCTCATAAATGAGTTGGTAAGAGTTCCTTTTTATTTTTCTGGTAGACATTGTATAAAATTGGTGTTAATTCTTTTTTTTAATGTTTGCTAAAATTCTCCATTAAAACAAAATGAGCCTGGACATTTCTTTCTCCGAAGCTTTTTAATTACAAACTCAATTTCTTTAATAGTTGTAGGACTATTCAGATGGTCTGTTTCATCGTGGCTAAGTTTTGGTAGTTTGTGGTTTTCAAGGAATTAGTCTATTTCTTCTAAGTTGTCGAGTTTAACTAGAGTAAAGTTGTTCATAGTATTTCCTGATTATCCTTTTAATGGCTGCAGGCTATGTTCTGATATATCCTGTTTTTTTTCCTGATATTGGTAATTTATGTCTTCTCTCTTGTTTTCTGTGTCAATCTTACTAGAGGTTTATCAATTTTATTGATTTTTTTAAGAGCCAACTTTGTTTTCTTTGTTTTCCTGTTTTCAATTTTATTGATTTCTGCTCTTATGTTTATTATTTCCTTTGGGATACATTCTTATATCAACCTTCCAGCTGTCTTACGTTCCTTTCCTTTAAATTTTGATTCTTCACCTTTCTAATTTATATTAATTTTCTGTATTTATGAATTTTTGCAAGCCACTGTAAATCCTTTCTTGGTATAAACAAATGAATAAAAACTTATACAAGGACAAACTTAGTTTCTGTGTTGTCTTTCCCTTATGTGGTAGAATAAACTTTGAGTTTGCTTTTCTTTTTCACTGTGTAAAGGCAAGAGCATCACTTCATTATTGTAGACTATACCACTTTAGCTCATGGAGAGGCTTATTATTATTATGATTTTAATACTGAGGCTTAAATTTATACTCCTAAAGAAGTAGCTTCCACATTTTGTGTTTTTCTTGGCAATTTTTTGAGGTTGGCTTGGTGACTCTTACGTTTATCCCCTGCCTCCTTCAGCTGTAATACACAAAAATAAATAGCCTGAGACAGAGCTCCATTCTCCTTCGTTCCATCTGTGTGGTCACTCTGCTTGAGCTCTTTCTTTGAGTGACTGATGCCAATGTGTCTTTGACTCAGATTTCTGAGCTGTCCCCTCACTCGATTGGCAGTAATGAATTCTAAATCGATTCTGTGCTAGTCAACACTATTTCATTTAATCGTCACGAGAAACTCGGGAGGCACTTACTATTGCTCTCACTTTATAAGTGAGAAAAGAGACCTGTGCAAGGGTCAGGTGTCTTGCTCAAAGCAGTTGAGATTGCTTCGAGGGTAAGTTCAGGCTCATGGCACTAGAATGCCTAGCCTCATATTTGGGATCTAAACTTCACTAGTTGAATACCTTAGGCAAGTTGCCTAACCCCACTAAGCCTTGGTTTCCCCTTTTGAAAAATAGGAATAAACAATGATGTGGTTGCTATGAGGATTAGATGTCATAATCCATGTTAAGTGTCTAGACTACTGCCGGTTCTGTTGTAATTTCTCAATGAAGGTCACTCCAAGTGTTGTTATTATATTACTCCACTTAATAATTATTATTGTGAAGTGGAAGAGCTGGCAGACAAACTCAGGCCTCTCTGACTCTCAACTATGTGTTCTTAGCCTCATACACATTAGACTGGTAGAGACTGTGGCCAAACTGTAGACACTGTGGCCTGTGGCTCTGAGATGAGAAGCACGATCTTTTACTTCTGCACTTGAGAAGACTTTGTGGTACGGCTCTGGGTTCTAAGCTCACCATCTCTATGAATGACTTTAAATTATTTAGTCTGTTTCTTTTTTTTTTTTTTTTTCCTGTGAGGAAGATCAGCCCTGAGCTAACATCTGCCAATCCTCCTCTTTTTGCTGAGGAAGACTGGCCCTGGGCTAACATCCGTGCCCATCTTCCTCCACTTTATGTGGGACGCCGCCACAGCATGGCCTGACAAGCGGTGCGTCGGTGTGCGCCCGGATCCGAACCCCGGGCCGCCAGCAGCAGAGCGTGAGCACTTAACTGCTAAGCCACGGGGCCGGCCCCCCGTTTAGTCTGTTTCAATGTTAATTCTTCACATTAAAATAGAGAGAATAATACGTCTAAGAGTTGTGAAAATTAAAGAAGATATTTTATGTAAAGAGTCTAGTACAGTCTCTGGCCCAAGCAGATGCTTAATAAATTTTGTCAAATAGATGAATAATGATTGTAATAATAACCAATGAACTGATTACTCCTGTAGCATTATAAATAAATAATTATTATAATAAACCCGAGCTGGTTGTTCATATAAAAAACTAATACTAGGTGACCTTTGGAATACCTTTGGCCTTCCAGGGAAGGAATTTTGTAATAAGCTTGGTTCTTTTCCCAGAGGACTAAAATATTGAGTAAGTGACAGAAAACATCCACCCACAGTTTAAACCTCCTGCAGAGATTCAGTGCTCCAGGCAAACTAATATGCCCAGCCCTGGACAGAACACAGTGTCAACTAATCTAATATGGGCTGTCAGTCTTGGCCTCTTCATTTGATGCTCTTGGCAGACTTGATGAGCCCGAAGGCCCCAGGCTTGGGTGGATTGATCATTTTCATTAGAGGAGGCCTGGGTGTTGGGAGTAGCTTCCTTGGATTCAGTTAGACTTGGGTTGGAATTCTGGCTTCACCACTTGGGAGCAAGTTAGTTAAACTCTAAGCCAAACAGCTTTTCATCTGGAACATGGGAATGATGATACTCACAGGTGTGTGTGTGTGTGTGTGTGTGTGTGTGTGTGTGTGTGTGTTAAAAGAATTAAATGAGATGCAGGTAAAGTACTTAGCCCGGTTTTCAGCATATTCCTTTCCACCTTAGGTCAAGACTGAGATTCAAGTGACATGAATTTTATTCTCAACTCTGTTAAGGACTGTATGGCTTCAGCAAATCACTGAGTTTTTCTGGGTTTCGTTTTTCTCAATCTGGAAAATGGCATGAAACCCCCCTCCTATTAGGTAGAGGTATAATGCAAGGTTGGTAGAAAGCTGGAGTCAGTAAACTTTTTTTTGCAAAAGGCCAGATAATAAAGATTTTAGGCTACCAGGACCACACTGGCCTCTATTGGATATTCTTTGTTGTGTTATTTTTTTTTAATTTTTAATTTTTGTGAGGAAGATTAGCCCTGAGCTAACATCTGATGCCAATCCTCCTCTTTTTGCTGAGGAAGATTGGCCCTGGGCTAACATCCATGCCCATCTTCCTCTACTTTCCTCTACTGGGTTGCCGCCACAGCATGGCTTGACAAGCGGTGCGTTGGTGCGGGCCGGGGATCCGAATCTGCGAACCCTGGGCTGCCAAAGTGGAGCGCGAGCACTTAACCACTACACCATCAGGCTGGCGCCTGTTTTGGGTTATTTTACAATCCTTTGAATTTGTAAAAATCTTTCTTAGCTGGGCCACAGGCTGTCATTTGCGGAGCCCTGGTATAAAATACTAGAATATCAGACCCGGAAGAGGTCTTACCCAATATTCTCATTGGATGGCAAGAAAATAGAGGTAGCCCCAAATAATTAGTTACTTCATACTTTTGAAAAGGAAGGGTGCTGAACAATTGCAAAGGACTTTTTATTGTTTGTCTTAGTCACATGTTTCAAGTAATATTTGTCTTTATTTCAAAGTTCCGTTGCAATTAGTACAAACAAATTGTGACACTAAAGAAAAACAACTTTGGAAATTTTGAGAATGAAAAATTAGATTTTTAGAAATTTGGTTCTGAAGAAAAATTCCCTGCTCAGAAACACAAGGTACATAAAAATCTCACTGCTGTGTGTGCGTGTGTGTTTCTCTCTCTCTCCCTCCTAGTCCTTGGTTTTAAGTTAGTAGAGAAAAATTTTAAGTATTCTATGCATATCAAAGGATTTTGGAGGTGAGAGAAGGCTTGCCATTAAAACTTTAGATTCGTGTTTATACGTGTGTTTATATTCCTACTTTTTCCTTATTGTTTTATTTACTTAGTCAGTTTCAGCAGAAGGGGAAGAATTATAATACATTAGGGTTGGGGAAAATCGTCACTGGCAAAGGATTCTTTTCTCTCTTCCTTTCATCTTCCCTTGTATTTTTCTAGAGATAATTCTGGCATGGAATGTCCCTTCAGGGAGACCTGAGGGTCTCTTTGGTCACTCTTTGTTCTGGCAGCACCAGGATTCTTTAGCCTCTAGTTGCTTTCTTTGTTTGATCATATTAACAGTATGTTTCTTAGCATTTACTGCTTTTGTTGTGATACTTTTGGTGCATTTATTTCAAGGAAATGCTTTTCTATGTTTCTAGTTAGGTGCACAGCCAAAGCTGAACATCTTTTTCTTGAGTGGATTGATATAACTGGGTAGCAGTGAAGTAGCAGAAATAAATACACATGAAGGCACTATGTGCTCTCTCTTATGGAGACACAAAATCAGCCAGCTTCTGGCTGCTGAGATGACCCCTGGCCAGTTTGTACACTAAGTATAGAAGAAATACCACAGCTAGATTAGACAGCCTGGTAGAACAGAAAGCATTCTGATCTGAAAATCGGGAGACCTGGGTTAGTTGTGACCTTGGGCAAGTCACTTCACCTCACGTTTTCCATCTATAAAGGCAAGGACTAGATAGATTTGGAATTCCTATGTTCTATGAATTTTGTGAGTTAACAGATCCCTATACCAATTGTGGTCTCTTTTTTTTAAGCAGTTGTGGAAAACTGGTGGGGTAATTGGACACATTGATGCTCCTGGATGAAAGAAAAAGTTTCGGGCTTACTAGAACAGTATAATTATCTATATAACAACATACATATGGCTTGTGTTTATTGGATATTTACTATATGCCAGGCATTCTTTTAAGCATTTTACTTGGAATATCTCATTTAATACTCGCTCCTACTCCATGAGGTAGGTATGCTGATATCCTCAAAGAAAAAATAGAAGCTCAAATAGATTAAGTAATTTAAACCCAAATGTATTTTATTCAAAATCCCAGACTATTAACACTTTTATGTTGCTTTATTTTACTCGTGAACTTTCACCTTATTTCTAAGGAAAAATCTCTCCAGTCGCTTATGATTTGTGAAGGATGTATTTGACTAAATATCTCATGTTTTTTCTTTTCCTCCTTGTCTTTCCTAGGCCACCTCGAGATTTAGACTCCAAAGCTTGCATTTCTATTGGAAGTCAGGTGAGAAAAGTCATGTCTGCCAGTTAGTATCTTGGCCATTTTACGTATGTGCTTTCTGACTGGCCGTTGAAAGTTTACTTCTTGTAACGTACTGTCAGGGGGTGGGTCAAAAACCTTTAAATTTAAACACAGATGGTATGCGGAGCTCTTGCGGTTTTGAATGTTGAATTGAAATCAGGCTGTTGTGGTCCTGACAGAAGGTATTTGAGAAGAGTAGATGACTCTCTTTGGGGTACATTCCTCAAGGTCCGAGCATAGACCTAGTTGCCATCAGTCAGCAAATGGATTACTCATGTAACTAAGGGGACATGGCTAAAGAACCACTATGTAGACAGCTTACACTGAGCAATTTGGAAGCTGAGTTGGAGTTCTGTATTGCCTGTGACAAGCAGGTGGCATTCTGCGGGAGTCGAAACATCTCCCAGCGCTTCTTGCTTTCAGTGGCTGCTTGGAAAAGCTTCTAGACCAGAAGCTTCTGGACCAGAAATGGAAATAATCGTTAGAACATTGGGAAAAACCAGAGAGAAGACAACGTAGTCTATGTCCAGTTGATTTTTCTCTTTCCTATTGTGTTATTACTGTTCTCTCTTGCAGAACTTTGAGGTGAAGGCGGATGACCTGGAGCCTATAATGGAACTGGGACGAGGTGCGTACGGGGTGGTGGAGAAGATGCGACACGTGCCCAGCGGGCAGATCATGGCGGTGAAGGTAGAGTTGACATTCCCCCAACGTTTTCTATCTGTGGTGTATATGTTTGTCCTTCTCAATTGCAAATCAGCTCTTTTCATAGAAGCAAAATAATCTTCAATGGGACGAAACAGAAAAATTATTTGTAGGGAACAATATTTCCCTCCAAATGTGTGTGGAAAATTCTTCCTTGGTGTGAGTTACATCTACTGTTTTTTTTTAACTAATAAATGCGACATCCTCCTTTTAATTTTTTATGCAGCCGCCGTGTCATCATTACACTGAAAAGAATTAACAATACTTCCTTAGTGTCCTCTAATACCAGGTCCAAATTGAAATTACCTTGATCGTCTCAAAGTTTTTTTTTTTTTTCTGTTGGTTGTTCAAATCAGAATCCAAACAAAATTCACATGTTGCATTTGGTTATGTCTCAAAAGTCTCTTTTATTCTATATTCTATTGCTTTTAAGGAATTGTTCTTGAAAATCAGGAAACCAGAATTAGGGGAAAAAATTATCTCCATTTGTGGAAGAAAGGAGGATAAAATACATCTTGAGTGAATTTGCATAGTTGTTAGCTGTACAAAGAAATTTAGAATCATTGCATATTTCTTGAGAAGATACTGGAAAGACCTTGGAGAATGACCATCTCTGATGAATGAACAGATTTGGGCCATTCTTAGGAATGTGGGTGGTCAGATGATTTGGATCCCTTTGTTTTTGGAGAATAGAGGTATCTTTCCCTTACTTTGTAGATTTTTCAATTTTTTTTTTTTTTTTGCCAACTCTTTGCTAAGTAGGCAAAAAATGTGAAAGCCTAGTGATATTATATCTTTCCTGTCATTTAATGGCATAGTCATGTTTCTGTAAGGCCACATTTGCTGGTGTGACAGATTTCTCTTCTCTCAGAAGCACTGGGATAGGAATGAATGGTTTCTCCATCTCTGTTTGATTCCTTCCGTTTCCTCTAGCTGTGTCAATTCTCTCACAGTTGCTGTTTAGTCCAAATATTCTTACATGTTCCCAAAGAGGGGCTTTTGGCTTTTTTTGGAGGACCCTGAAATCAGCCACAAAATAATTAACACTCTTTGCACTGAACAGACATAATACAGTAAACCAGACTGTTTTTGCAACTTGGAAATACATTCTCAAACATTTGCACACGCTCTAAAATATATTATCAGTTTGCTTCTTACCAGGGATTATTCAGGAAATCAAAGAACAGCAGTCTTCCTTATTTTTCATTTGTTACAAATAGCTAATCACTTAGGGTAAATATTTGAAAGGTTGTTGCTAGAAGTTGTGCTGTGAATTTTTGTACTGTTTTCAGGATGGGACTCTTTAAGGTCCCTGCCTTACTAACTGACTCATCCTCAGAGCAGTAACCATAAATTTTTTCATGCATTCCCATTCAGCGGATCCGGGCCACAGTAAATACCCAGGAGCAGAAAAGGCTATTGATGGATTTGGATATTTCCATGAGGACAGTGGACTGTCCTTTTACGGTCACCTTTTATGGCGCACTCTTCCGGGAGGTAGGTGATCCTTCAATTCAATGTCCGAGGAGAACAGTAACTTGAGAAAGAAGTTACTCTGATCATGTAAATACCATGCGCAGTCACGGCACTCTTTCTTGTTAGACGTGTCCTCTGCAAAGAGTTTCACTCTTGTGCAGTGATGACATGCCCTGGTGCAAGGTTGGCTTGAAATTATGGTATTTTCAAATGTGTTTAGCCCTTTTAAAGATGCTGAGGCTCCCCTTCTCCTTTCTGTTTTGGTTGGTCTATGTTGGCAGAACTGTCTATATCAATTGTCTGTACACTGATGTGGATAGATTCTTTCAAATCTGAAATACTCCGGTCTTTTGGCCACTTGATAAGCTTCATGTAGCCTTGTGTACCATGTAGGTTTACATTTACCTCTGCTCTACCTCTGCTTTCACGTTACCATTATATGGATTATGATGCTTCACCTCACTCTTAAAACCAGCCTTTTGATGAACTGTTGCCAGTGCTCTGTGTGGGAAGTCAGACGTGGAGTAGGCATCTACACTTATCTCGCAGAGAGCAGTAACAGTCAAGGCTTGGATTTCTGGGAGTCTATTGCTTGTAGCAATTAGTACTTAGATCCTAGTTTTCATTAAGGAGTAGCTGATCACATGCAAGTTCTGCGTGGCTGTCTGCTGGTTTGCTCTTTGGAGATAATCTTGCTTGTTTATAAATTCCTTTGGAATCTTGAAGGAAAACTCTACATTTCCTCCAAAAACGCAAGCAAGAAATAGTCAGTTTTTCCTGACAGGTGTTAACTGTTTCCTCTTTTTCCCTTTTCCATCCTCTCTAACAATCTCTGAACCAATCGGTATCCAGGGTGATGTTTGGATCTGCATGGAGCTCATGGATACATCGCTAGATAAATTCTACAAACAAGTGATTGATAAAGGCCAAACAATTCCAGAGGACATCTTAGGGAAAATAGCAGTTTCTGTGAGTACATCATGAATCCTACTACAAAGAGAATCTGAGAAGGCTGGGTCTTATGTGTCCTCGTACCCCCAGTATGAAGAAACACTGCCTGGACCATAGCTCCCGTCTAGTACATGTCTGTTGAATGCATGAGTGCATCTGTGGTGGGATAAATGAATGCTTTTCTTTCTGAGCATTATGTAGAAGATTCTAGCCCTGACTTGGTTTTTGGTAAACTCTCAGTTAAAGTGCCTCAAGGCAGTGCATTCATCTGCTATGACCACGGTCCTGGTGTCTATATTCTGATATTAGTTTATTTTGATTTTCATTTGTAGATTTTTAAGTGTTTTCTTAGGACGAATAGGCATTGAAGGAAGCAGAAGAAAATAAAATGAAATGAAGGGCTGCTCCCTATGGCTATTGAGGCTCAGGAGGGTGAAGAGAAAAAAATGCAGGAGGCCAAATGAAAAACAAGATATATGAGTGAGACATTCTCTCTGCTATAAGATATAGTCCTCTCTGGTGCGCGGAGCCCAATTTGTGTAACTTCCTGTGTATTTTCCTGGATAGGACCATGACTATGTGAGGAAATACTTCACCTTGTGACCTTAAGCCAGGGACAATAAACTTGTATATACTTAACATTCAATGTCTTTCCAGTGATGGGGGAAATAAATCTATCTTGTGTTTCTCTTGCAGATTGTAAAAGCATTAGAACATTTACACAGTAAACTCTCTGTCATTCATCGAGGTAAGCATCCATGGAGCTGCCTTGGCTATTCCTTTTATAAAGGTCATTTCTTTTACCCGAGTTTGTTTTTTCCCCCGTCCAATGGATGGAAGTGAAATTGAGTCAGGCGAGAGAATTGAGGGGTTTTCCTTTGGGACTGAATTGCAAATCACATATGTAGCTTTTCTTTATCTTGTGTGAGCACATCAGATGCCATGGGCTTTATGTTGCACCTAAATTGAATCTAGAATACCTGTTACCAAGCAGAGCTGTGGGATTACCCCCACTGAGAATGTTAGAGAATAGGATAAAAATTCATCTAGTGTTGGCCATCACCTGGGAGCTTGTTAGAAAAATAGAATCATGGGTCCCAAAACCAGCTGAATTAGAATCTGCATTTTAACAAGATTCCCAGGTAATTCTTGCACATTAAAGTGTGAAAAGTTCTGGTATAAAGCATAGCCGTTTCAGACAGCAGGAGGCCGGATAAGATGAAAAAATTGGTAGATTTGTCTCTTCCTCCACTCCCTCCTTCCCTTTCTTCCCTCCTATTGACTTGTTATCTCTTTGTCCATCCATCCATCCATCCACCCATATATGCATTCTTCCATCTTTCATCCATCTGTTTATCTTTTATAATCATTTTCCCAGCATTTATACAGTACTGTATTTATACAGCACTATAATAGAAGCCCTAAGAGGTATCTGAAAGAAAACATATTCTGATTAAAATTCTACATAGGGAAAGAAGACAATACAACAAACACATGAGAAAAAAAAACCAGATTAGAAATATGAAAGTACCAAATATGGAAGTAGAATAGGTAGAATGTAAAACAAGGAAATGATTCGCACTGGGTGACTACAGTCAAGGAAAGCTTCTTGGAAGAGATATGCTCAACCAGCTCTTTGGAAGAATTAATGGAAAGTATTGATAGCTAATAGGGCATTGTGATTTGGTAATTCTTAAACTCTCTGAGCCTGAAAATAATGTAAAATGCTTCAAACAGTATGCCTATTATGATTGTTATTATCATTATTAATTGTTATTATTAAAAATTGGAAAAATAGGAAGGAGGAAGAGGAGGAGAAGAAAGTGGGAAGGAATCAAACAGGAAGACAGATGTGGATTACCCACAAATGTGAAACCTATTTTTAAGGGTTTATTTCAAAATTATGAAATATTTCATTCATATTGGAGAATGTATATCAAGTATAACAAATAATAAAATGAAATTTGTATATCTGCCATTCAGTTTCAGGGAAAAATTATAAAGGATAATTTTTGAAGTTTTAGAATTACTTATTTCTTCTGATTACATGTCTTTTTTTTTTTTAAAGATTTTTGTTTATTTATTTTTCCCCCAAAGCCCCAGTAGATAGTTGTATGTCGTAGCTGCACATCCATTCTAGTTGCTGTGTGTGGGACGCTGCCTCAGCATGGCCGGAGAAGCGGTGCGTTGGTGCTCGCCCGGGATCCAAACCCGGGCCGCCAGCAGCGGAGCGAGCGCACTTAACCGCTAAGCCACGGGGCCGGCCCCTGATTACATGTCCTTTGTGAAAAAAATTAACTGTAATTTCGAATTCCATTATCCAAAGATAACAAGAGTTCATCTACTTGGGGAGTGTGGGTAGGTGTGTGACATCTTTCCAGTCTGAAGCATTCATTTAAGAATTGTTCAGTAATACCCCTTCATCCCTATGTGTATTCTGTGACCGGCTTTGTGATCTGGAATATCTGAGTTTATGATGAGTTACCCTATGTGATCTCTGACATACCTCTTGCAGAAGCTTCAATTAAAATTGGTGGCTTTGGGGGCCGGCCTGATGGCGTAGCAATTAAGTGTGTGTGCTCTGCTCCGGTGGTCCGGGGTTTGCAGGTTCGGATCCTGGTCATGCAGCGACACACTGCTTATCAAGCCATGCTGTGGCAGTGTCCCATATAAAGTAGAGGAAGATGGGCATGGATGTTAGCCCAGGGCCAATCTTCCTGAGCAAAAAAGAGGAGGATTGGTGTCGGATGTTAGCTCAGGGCTAACCTTACTCATTAAAAAAGAAAAAAAATTGGTGGCTTTGATTATGTTTGTTGTATTGTTATGTCGTAGTCTGCCTTTTCATTCCACGATTTATTACTCCTACACTAAATGTGCAATAGATCATTAAGAACTGGGCTTTTTAAAAAATTATTTTATTGTCATAAGAACACTTAACATGAGATCTACCCTCATAATGAATTTGTAAGTGTATAATATAGTATTGTTCATTGTAGGTACAATGTTGTACAGAAGATCTCTAGAACTTATTCATCTTGGATAATAGAGACTATGCCTGTAGAACTGGGCATTTGATTTGGTAATAATTTTTTAAGTTCTTCTACAGTCATGTACCACGTAACAACATTTCAGTCAACAGTGGACCACAGATGCAACGGTGGTCCTATACGATGAGTACCATATAGCCTGGGTGTGTAATAGGCTATACCATCTAGGTTTGTGTAAGTATATTCTATGATGTTCGCACAATGACGAAATCACCCAACAACACATTTCTCAGAACATATCCCCATCATTAAGTGATGTATGACTGTATATGTATGGAGGCAATGAAGATGACAAATTAAATACAGTAGACAGTTCTTTCCATTGGTGGATTCACAATCCTACACAAAGGACAAAACATGAAATAGAAAATCAAGTTGAAAGCGATAGGTATATACCTGTGAGGCGAGGATGGCAGTTACTTCTGTGTTGGGCCTCGTCAGGAAAGGAAAATGAAGGAGAAATGGAGATAACAGGCCCTCTGGTGGTACAGAAATAAAGCTTCAAAGCAGGCTGGGATGATGGGCTCCTGGTTCTTCTTGCTTTCAGATGTCAAGCCTTCCAACGTGCTGATCAATGCTCTGGGCCAAGTGAAGATGTGCGATTTTGGAATCAGTGGCTACCTTGTAGACTCTGTTGCTAAAACTATTGATGCAGGATGCAAACCATACATGGCTGTAAGTACAGCAGCTGGGGGTGGCATCTGAGAATGGAATTGCTGGCAAACCATCCCAGGAAATAGGAAATGGATGGCCACAGAGGGAAAACTGAAATGTGCCTAAGATGCAAGAAATACTCTGCATCTTCTTTTTTCTTAAGTATTTCCTGTCTGAAATCCTTAGTCACTTGCTTCATATGTATTATTTTTTAAAAATCAAGTAAAGAGGTATATTATTTGAAAAACCGTGTAAGTAATACATACAGCCCACATAGTCAAACAAGTCGGTTAGGTTAGTCCTCATGGCTATGAAGGTTCTTTGCCATTAGCAGAGACTTGGGACTCTCTTTAACTTAAGGGACTTGACTTTATTCTATTTGGAAATGAACTTGGGCTTGGAATTAAAAAGCTTCCTGTCCATGTTTAGCTAAAAGTTGTTTAGGTCTATTAACACCAGACAGTAGCCCAGTGACTCTTGTTGATTCTTTTTACTGAGCTCTGGACTGTTGTGATCTTAAACAAGGGAAATTCTAGGCTGGCAAAGTAGCTTTATAGTGTATATCCTGTTTCTTCTTAAGGCGAAATTGAAACTAGTTTTGAATTGCGAGGGGACTTTGATCCGTTACTGTCTCCAAGTAAAGACTAATGTAGAATGAGGAAAGTCCCATGGAGATGTTGATATTTATTGTAGTTAGTGAGTCTTCTTGGCCTGGGAGGCACGTTAACAGCTTAAACCAACTCGCTTGGCAGCTGGTGCCACCCCTACCCCCAGAGATGTTGTTGAGCTAAGAATGTCATCTCAGTTGTCTTTTTCTGTCTCCTTTCCAGCCTGAAAGAATAAACCCAGAGCTCAACCAGAAGGGATACAGTGTGAAGTCTGACATTTGGAGTCTGGGCATCACAATGGTAGTGTGTGATAATCATCGCGGACTATGAGGTTCTGGGCATGAAGCTGAAATGGGGTGGACTTTGAGACCAAGAGGCAAATGCCCTAAATGCTGGTCTTCAGCATCCTTTCGTGCCTGAGATAGCAGGAGAATTTGAGTGACAATTGTTTCAGTGTGATGTAGTAGAAATATTGAACTGGGATTGGGCAAACCCAGTTTTTCTCTTCATTCTACTTCTACCTAGTTGTATGCCCTTGAGTGACTAATGGAGGCACATGGACTGTGTTACTGTCCCCATCTGTAAAATGAGAGGGTCTGACTATAGTTCCTGATAGTTTTCCTTACAGTTTAAAATTAAATTATTCTAATCCAGGCATGAAGAAGCTTAAGTGAGTCAAAGAGTGCTAATATGTGTGGACCCTGATAGAGCCATGTTATCCAGGACATGGGCTACGCTTCCCAGAATACGTCTGGTAGAAGCCTTGGCCAGTGAGGTCAAGTATAGCCAAAAGACATGGTAACAAATAGGATAATTTCCTTAGGCACAGCCCTAAAGTTATACGATTAGTCTCTTATTCATAACTTTGATGATCGTAAATTTTCAGTCTATCACCAAGGTCTGGAATTATCTGCTGTGGTCCTGGCTCCTTCCCAGCACAGCAGCTGATTAAATCCCGTGAGTTATTTCACATCCTTGCCCAGAATACATGTGATCTTCTAATGGCAAAGTGGCCTTACTCAAATCCAAAAAAAGATCAGTCATTTGGTCCAAGGGTGTTTTTTTTGTTCATTCTAGCAAGGGACCTGCAGATGGCAGCAGAGGTACAGCTCTGTAAAATCTTAGGGTGAGAATTATTTTTCAGACCAAACATTTGAAAACCTGGTTGCTTTCCATCCTGAAGTTTCACACCGCTGGCCTACAATTTTATTAAGTGTCACAGTGGGTTTTAGTGAGGACCCAGTTTTAAATAGGCTTAAATGGCTGTCTCTACTAAGATAGTATTTGAAAATCCCTAGCACTAGGATTTGGGAGCAAAATGCTGGGGAACCTATTATTAGCTAATTTTCCCCCCAAATTTTACTTGAACTTCACCTTGTATTTCCCTCTCATTCTCCTGGAACAAAACACAGTAGGTTCCCTAAAGTAGTCCTATTTAAGCTGTTATCTCCTTGTGTTCCTCTCCCCTCTAGATTGAGTTGGCCATCCTTCGGTTTCCCTATGATTCATGGGGAACACCTTTTCAGCAGCTCAAACAGGTGGTAGAGGAGCCATCACCACAACTCCCGGCAGACAAGTTCTCTGAAGAGTTTGTTGACTTTACCTCACAGTGGTAAGAGAGCCTCATTTCCCAGATGCCAATGTTAAGGAAGAAGAGGAGTTCTCATGAATTTCCTCCATCAGTTTTAATCCATTATGCATACATTCACTCCAAAAGCATTTATGGAATGTGCCCCCGAAGCTGGAGAAACAAAGATGCCTCTATCCCAATGCCTGCCCTCCTGGAGCTCAAAGTCAAGTAGAAGAGTCTCATCAATCAATAATTACCGTGCAGTATGGCAAGTCCAGTGATGGAGATATGCATAGGGTATTGGGGGAACTCAGAGGAAAAGCATTAGGATAGAGTTTCTCGAGAAGGTAAATCCTGAGCTGAGGCCATGTGAAGTATTTTCCAAGTGAAAGAGAAGTAGAGGAGGGAAAGGTATTCCCAGCAGAAGGAACATCATGCATCGTGTCACAAAAGTGAGAAACTCCTTTATGAGGGTGATAAGTAATTTGATGTTAGAGCATCAAGGAAAGGTGGTAGGGCCCACTGGAGGATAAGGGATGGGACATAGATAAGACACAGAGAGGAGAAGACAGTAGGTAGTTTGAGAGTGTTAATTAGTTACTTAGAGGCCTTGCAAAGTAGTTCTAGTGTTTTTCAGGCTGCCTCCTATGCAACACTGGATAACTGTGGATATACTTGCCCGTGAGGGGACAATAGACAGTATTGGGGGTCTGAGAAGGGAATATAAAGAAAGTTGGAGTGGAAAGATGGAAGGAGTCATACTTATTCTTTAAACTTTGTTTTTGTGCAATTGCCAGTGGAATCGAGGAAATTAGGGGAGGGGATAATTTTCTCCAGAAAACTGAGTGATTTGTCTGCATAGCAACCATGATGCTTAGTATAACTTGATACTAATAAACGTTGCAAGTGCTGCTGGAAGAGGATACCAAAAGAAAAGTACAAAATGGAGCCAGGTTAGTTTATTTGGGCATCCTGCAGGAGCAGATGAGAAATGGGAAGAAGGGGAATCAGAGATGGTGACAAATCCAGCTGTGACCCTTGGAGAGGAGCAGTTCTTGCTCAGAGAGGCCACTTGCTGCTGAGGAAGGGGTGGACCTCTGAAGATTGTTTGATAGTACAGTTTCCTCAAGTTTATCATTCCTTGGCCTCCATGCTCTTCGGAAGAAGCATTTGGAATGCAGCTTTTATTGGGAAACATGATGAGACAAAACAATGGTCTGTTGCTTGTGAAACTAAGGCCTCTTGGACCTTTTGTTAGGGCTAGTCCCCACGTTACCTCTGGTACTTTTACCTAATGGTATATGAAACTGGCTTACTATTATTTGTTTTGTTTTAATTTTGGCTGAATTGCCAGAGAGGGGCTGGAGCACTGGGCTCTAGTACTAGTGTTGTTGGTTGACTCTTAATATGTCCTTCCTCTGGGCTACTATGTCCTCCTATCTGCTCTCCTTGAGCGAGTGTGCTGGAGGTGGTGGTACCCCAGCCAGGTTGAGATGGGCTCATGATTTTGCCTTCTGGATTCAAGAACTTGTTTTTTGTTTGTTTTTTGGTTTTTTTCCTTATCCTCAAATGTTTAAAGGTCGCATAGGAAAAGGGATGAGTCATCTTGGATAGTTTAGCCCAGTAGTTCTCAAGAGGGGGTGGTAATGGAGAAGGATCTTATCTAGGAAGTCTTTTCAAACTCTCTTCCCTATAAGCTCTCTCCTACCTGTCCCCTTTTCCCGAGAGGCTGGATACTTCAGAAAACTTTGGTAAGAACAAGGCTGGTGTGCAGAGTTTGAGAAAGCTGGGCCACCTGTTGGGAGCCACTAGTTTAATCCAATAGTTCTCACTCTGTCTGCTCCTTTATGAAACTCAAGAGAGCTTTCAAATACACTGTTGCCTGGGCCTCACCCTCAGAGACTCTGATTTAATTGGTCTGGGGAGGGTCCTGAATATCAGTATTTTTCAAATGTTTTCAAACCATTCTACTGTAGAGCTGGAGTGAGAACCCCTAATTTAGACCTGTAATCTGTGGACCTGCTATAACTACTTCCTGTTCAAAAGCTGCTTTTCTTCTATCATTTATTTAAAAAATCGTTTAATTACTTTATTTTGCTTTCACCAAAGTATATTTTTCTCTTACGTAGAATTTCCCCTAAAGAACCAGAGCATTAAAGCTTTTTATAGATTTTTAAAAAATGAAAACCTTGAAAAATAAATGCTTTCTAATTTTAATGTACGCATACATATATGGACATTCCAGATACTTGTATTCTTGCTATTTTATAGTGACCACTCCATGCCTACCCTCGCCCCCAGAATACTCCTAGTCTCTTCATGGCTGCCCCTACGGTCTCCATTTCCCTCTTGTTTTCTCTCAGTTTTAGTCCCAGCTACTATAGTTTATTAATTAAAAAACTTTGAGCCATAGACATTTTCCAGCTTTTCTGGAACCATTAGTTTGGTTAATTCTGTTAATTCTGTATCATTTCATTTGCATTCAAGTCAGCCAGCCTGGTTTGCTTATGGGGTTTACTGAAAAAAATAATAATAATAGAAACAAAACTCAAATCACTTTAAGTTGCTAAAGAATACATTTTTCTTCAGACTTTCAGTGTTGTAGCTCCTGTAGAATCTGATACTTAAGAATATCAATTGTGTAAAGTAGTGAGTCATTTTTGTTGGTATGAGAATTGGGAAATAGGAGGGGAGCATTAATTCTGAATTTTATGAGCATTCTTACTTATCCTCAGATGGGTTTTTTAAGAGTATGGGCTCTCCTATTTCAGATGCCAAGTCAATAGTTTTTTGCCTACCATAAACCGCCAATATATTTTCTTTAAAACTCCACAGTATGAACATTATTTTGAAGTCAACTGAGTTGGAAAAGTTGTCTAGAAAAAAGTTGTCAAGAAATGGTGCTAATTTTTTTTTAGATTTTATGAATGGCTTGGATCTTTATGAAAGCAATTTTATTTTTCATATATATTAGTGTACAGATACAGACCTGCCCCCATTAGCAGTCTAGTTACTTCACTTGTTTTTTTACTGCCAGTTTTAAGTTTGATCTGGAGCTGGGTGGAAAGAGTGGAAAAATGATTATTACTTAAAGAACACTTCTTCTATCTCTTGATGAAGAGAAGGATATAGCCTATGAGTATAACTCCCTTTTATAGTTGTTTCTCCATTTTCCTAAGTATAAAGCTATATTTTTGAGACCAATTTTCATAAAAGGACCCTTTTTTGAGTGACCTCCAATGTTTGTTTTTTTTTGTATTTTTATGACATGGTCAGGCTATGATCCTTCAAGACTTCTCAAAAAGTCCCAACTGTTTGTGGTAAGTTTGGAAAGGGGACTGTCGATTTGGAAAGTGAAAAATTTAATCTCAAATTTCGAGATAGATACATCTATGTTTTTATGTCCTACTACTCCTTTGGGCTAAATGTAGAGCTAGAAGAAAAAGGGTACATTCTCCATGTTTCGTGGGATGCATCCTACCGAAGCATTTGATGACATCGCAGTGCTGCTGCACACTGTACACCTTCATCCAGGGAGTCAGCTTGGTGCCCACTCTCCTCTGATTGCTGCTTGTCTGTTGACAGTAAATCGTGGTTTGTGGGGTGGAGTAGAGAGCACTTACGGGCTATCGCCATCATACCCAAGGTCAGATCTAGAGCCCAGAGGTCCAGCTGCTGTCTTTTCTTTTGCAGTAAATGAGAAAAACGTTATCCTCAGGGCGAGGGAGTGGCGGGGAAGAAAGTTAAGGCATTTATTTCTTATGAACTTGAAGGAAAAAACCCAGTGATTTCTTACAAACCCTTCCTTTCTGTACTTATTTTGAAATAGGACTAACAAATGACATTTGCTTCTTCCCGTACTCGTGGCTTTCTTATTATCATAGGGATTTCAAAGAGTTCCTGGAGTAGATGATGCTGACCATGTAGGTCTTGCTTTGGGATTCCTAATAGAGAAGTTGGACAGAAAAGCCTTACATTCCAGGCCTGCAGAAGGGTTAACAAATGAGTTTCTCAAAAAAATGGAATCTTAACAGGCTTACATTTTTCACCCTAACCTCTTCCTATAGGTTCACAGGCTTGGGGACTGAAGGAAGTTGCTGGAAACCAACTGCTGGGTGCCAAAACAGCTCGACTTCCTTTTTGCTTTTCCTTTAGGCCTATTTAAGAGGCTCAGTGCCCAGCTGACCAGCCTGATGGCATGTTGGAGTGTGTTGGAGGCCCACCCAGACATTGATACTGTCTGACTCAGAGGAACTAGTATAAAATGGAGACAATCAAATATAGTTCCCAGCTTGTTCAGGAAGGACAGTAAAAAGAGTCACTGGGTATTTATTTAGCTTATGACAAATGTATGGCTTGAGAGGCGCAAATGTGTTTTTATTCTGTGGATGCACCAAATAGCTCTTCTTGGATATGATCAGGGAGAATTCAAATAGGCAGAAATCCTCTGGTCAGCACAAGCTTCAAGTTAGCAATTCTCAAGACAGCATGAAGCTGGGTTTTAGTGTCAGCTACGGTCAGGAGCGTGTGTTGTGGCATTTGGAAGAGGAATTATGGCAGTTAGCTAATTGCACACTTGAAAATGACAAGCCACTTGAAAATTCAAAAGTCTGACTCAAATCCAAAGAGAAATTGGTGTAGCTTTGAACTGCACAGTTGTTATTTTATACTGAATTTCAAGCACTTCCTATTAAACATGGAAAATTTGCCTTTTCCCCTAACCTTATCCTGAGTATTTTGCTATTCTTAGCCCATGTTTTGAAGTGTTCTTGATTTAAAAGATGGAGAGAATGGGTTATCAGCTATATTAATTCGATAAACAGCCTTGGTTTGCTGTGTAAGTATTTTCCATCAATACTCTGCAGTAGTGCTTGTGGTAAATTTTGAGCTTTCTAATCAGGTGCCATAAGTCAAGAAATCGCCTCTTGGCCAGCCATCTCTGAGATTCCAGGAATCCTTAACGCTTTCGATGCATCAAGATGGGGTACTTTCCCCACATTTTCTTTAAATAGATTAAAAAATAGTTCTGGAGAAATTTTCATAAACTGTTCCACAAGGGAAAAGATAAGACATCCTAACTTTGAGGACCTTTCCTCAAAAAATGGAAGTATTTAAGTTCTTCTACCTGGTAAGAAGAGTCTTATTTTGTTATCTACTAAATAGAAGATCAAAAGCCAACAATATCACAAAGATCTCTGGTTAGTAAAAGAGGCCACTGTTTTAACATTAGAGAAACAAGCTTTTCTTCCTAACTCTCATTCCTTTGCTTCCGTTGTTGACCAATGAAAGCTGGTCATGGAAAGGTGGGTCGTGGTCCTCAAGGAGAATATTTCAGAGTCAATACAGAGTTAGGGTCTGATGACTGACTAATGTTCCACCTAAATAGAGACACCTGAAATCAAGCACTTGAATATCAAGTGTGGATTTAATGTTGCATTTGTGCTTTTCAGTATTGATTTGAGCACATTGAATTGTTCAGATTATAGAGAAGACTTGCTGGTTTTTGATTTGGTTTGAACAATAGCTGGAAATTCAAGGCTTTTGTACATTAGCCTGTTTGTTTTTTTACTAGGGTCTATGTGCAAGTCAGCAAAGCTCCTGGGATCACATGTGTGCTGTGTTTCATTCTAGGTGAACTAGCTCTTGAACTTAGAAAAAAAAACCTTTTGCTTCCTGGAGCGGGCATAGGGAGGGGCAGCAGTGGCGAGAATGTGCCCAAATGACAGATGAATCAGCTGAAGATGCTTCTAAGTGAATTTCATCTCAGAGAAGGGGATAGGCAGTAGCAGCAAGGAGGAATGCCCTAGTACACATTGCTGAGGGTTTCTCACCCTCAGCACTAATGACATTTTGGACTGGATCATTCTTTGTTGTGGGGAACTTTGTAGGATGTTTAGCAACATCCCTGGCCTCTACCTATTAGGTACCAGTGTCACCCCCCTACAACCATTTGTGTCAACCGAAAATGCCTCTAGACATTGCCCAATATCCCCTGGAGGGCAAAATCCCCTGCAGTTGAGATTTGCCAATGGAGCCCTAGAAAATCTCAGGGTATAGGTACACACATAGTCATAAGGGGGAGTTCCAAGTGTCATTCATTTCACTCAGGCACACCCTCCCATATCAATCTGACTCTGACAGTTGATAATTCCTCCTTCTAATTCGCTCTTATTTTTATCCTCAGTTGAGATGAAACTTTCTCTCATAGGTTGTCTGGTCACTGAGGTCACTAGGCCCTAGATCTGCCCTCAGTTCCAGGTTGAAACTTCTCTCCTCACATCTACCTGTACCCTGTCTCAGGTTCCCTGGCTTCTGCCCGCAGCATTGCCTGGAATAATCTGGTAGGCTGCTTTAAGTTGTTTTGATTCTAAAGCTTCCTCTCTTTTTTGTTTTCCATTTTGTTTTGTTTTAAACCAGTTTCTTAAAGCGCCTCAACTACTTCACTCTCTTCTGGTTCTGTACCTCGCCCCCCTCATCATTATTAGCCTGTGTGGGTGGAGCAGAGCTCACGTCACACGTACTAGGTCTCATTTGCTCAAAATGATCCATTAGCACAAATCTCAGCAACCTAATAATCAGCCACATTTTGGTTCCTTAACACCAGGCAAAGTTCCTCTCCATTCATGTATGATTTTGTGGTCCAATTGGCAGAGGAGTCTGTAGGTTGCCTTTCAAATCATCGTTTTTGAAATCATCCTTTGCTCCATTCTGCAACCTGGGATTCCAACTCCAAATAAACCGCTTCTTTTCTTTTTTCCATTTTAAGGCCGTGGGTGAATACAGGGGTGGGCTGAGGATAGTGGGAGGGGTTGGTCTCTTCATATCGTGGTTTTATTACTGTTGCCTCCGGTATCAAATGTTATTAAAATGTTTGTGCCTACAGGGAGCCACTTGACGGTAGTGCATGGCCACAAAATATTTCTCAGAAGAATAATTGCTAAGTCACTGGCTGAGTGTGCTTTCTCTTTCATCAGCCAAGAGATCGTAAACAAGTAGCGTTACCTTAGCCATTTTATGGGTTTGTTGCTTCTATCTCAGTCAGCTTTGGTTAGGAATATATAAAAGCAGATTATACATTCAGGGGAGCCGGAAGCAAGGAGAACCAGGGAGATAGTGAAGAGATATCAAATTTAGTATAAGAAGCACCTGCCAGTTTCTTTGCCATTGGGGGTGGAGTAAAAGCTGTTTTGAAGGAAAGTAGATATGTATTTTGAAATATAGTGACTGTAGATCAGAAAAGCCTGTTTATATGTCATTAGTAGAGTATCAGAAGGAAAGTAAACACACACCCCCCATTCTTCCCATTAAGGTACACCCAGAGTGATTTAAAACACAATCTGTAAGTGTAACAGAAGAGGAAAGTCAAGATAGGAGATTTATGTTTTTAATACATGTTTAGTATTCTACAGATTCTGAAATCCTAGTCTAGTGAAAATATAGATGGTTTCTAGATTTTAATGTGATCAATTTTTTTCTTTAAGCTTGAAGAAGAATTCCAAAGAACGGCCAACATATCCAGAGCTTATGGTAAGTATTGTTAGCAGTGTAAACGTGTCCAAAAGAACAGCTAGTACAGGAAAAGTGATTGAGACCTAAATTATGATAAAACAACCATATTGGAAGAAATGATTCATTGAGACATTGGCAACTGGAATTGAACTCAAGAAAAAAAGAGCTGAGACCTTCATTTGTCCAACATCTTTCTTTAGCATAACCTGGGTGTATCACTAGTCTTAGCAATTTTTTACGTGATGATAAACTTGTCATTATATAGACAAAATTATATATACAATTTATATTTTCAAATTTTAAAGATAATAGGAATCAGCAATTAATATAAAGTGAAGGAAAGCATGATTTAAAGGATTTAAATATTGAGAGAAACTTAAGTGCTATGTGACTGATCAATTTTTGATAAAATATTTAAGATTAATTGGAATGACTCTTTTTGGTGAGTGTTTACGGAGGAAAAGAATCACTTCGTTTTCTCCTTCTGGTTTTCACTTTAGTGGAAAAAAGTAAGACAAAGCCTTATTAAATTGAATCATACTATCTCAGCATTCACAGTTTATCATTTGCACTATCTATGAAAAAAGAGTGAAAATAAGACCTCAGAGTTGTTGTTTTAAAATAGTTTCTCTTAAATTGTGGTAACTACAATTCTAAGCTAATTATGAACAATTCTGTAATATAGATGGCAGGGACCTAAACCTTGCAATCCTTACCTAAGTACATGTTGAAAGCAGGAGAAACACATTGTTTTTGAAATATTATAAAATTCACACTATTTACTAATTTGTGTTAACCCCTCTCTAGATTTGTTTCAATTATTAAGGTTTTAATTTTAGCTCGGGAAGGAAAAGTTCTGTTCATGCACAATTTCAAAAGAGACAGGAGCGAACATGGACACTATTTCTTCCTGGAGCACAGTTATTCAGCAGGCGTTAAATGCTTGTACCTATCCCATCCCACCCACAAGCAGTGCCCAGTCTTCAGGACCAACTCAGGGCAGGTGATAGAAGTACAGGTTCCTGATATCTCTTCAATGGTGTAGCAAGGTGGCTCTGACACGGAAAAAGTATAGCTTGTTGGTCATTTGTATGTCTTCCTTGGAAAAATGTCTATTCAGGTCCTTTGCCCATTTTTAAATTGGATTATTATTATTTTTTTTTTGTTATTGCAATATATGAGTTCTTTATATATTTTGGATATTAACCCCATGTGGTTTGCACATATTTTCTCCCATTCCATAGGTTGCCATTTCATTTTGTTGATTGTTTCTTTTGCTGTGCAGAAGCTTTTTGATTTAGTTTGGTTAGTCCCACTTGTTGATTTTTGCCAACAAGTACATGAAAAAGTTCTCACCATCACTAATCATCAGAGAAATACAAATCAAAACCACAATGAGATATCACCTCACACCTGTTAGAATGGCTATTATCAAAAAGATAGGAGATAACAGATGCTGGTGATGATGTGGAGAAAAGGGAACCCTTGTTCACTGTTGGTGGGAATGTAAATTGGTACGGCCAGTATAGAAAATAGTATGGAGGTTCCTCAAAAAATTAAAAAATAGAACTCTGTTATGATCTAGCAATTCTACTTCTGGCTATGTATTTGAAGGAAATGGAATCACTATCTTGAAGAGATATCTGCACCCCATGTTCATTATAGCATTATTTACAATAGCCAAGACATGGAAACAACCTAAGTGTCTGTTGATGGATGAATGGGTAAAGAAAATGTGGCATATATATATATATGGTGGACTATTATTCAGCTGTAAAAAAGAAGGAAATCCTGCTATTTGCAACAACATGGATGAATCTTGAAAGTATTATGCTGAGTGAAATAAGTTAAACAGACAAAAACAAATACTGTATGATTTCACTTATATGTGGAATCTAAAAAATTGAACTCATAGAAACAGAGAGTGGATTGGTGGTTGCCAGAGGTGGGGAGAGTGGGGGAAATGTGTCAAGGTGGTCAAAGGGTACAAACTTCCAGTTATAAGATGCTGAAGTTCTGGGGATGTAATGTACACTATGGTGGTATTGTATTGTATACTTAAAAGTTGCTAGGAGAGTAGATCTTTATAAAAGTTCCCACCACACATACAAGAAGGGTAATTATGTGAGGTGATGGATGTCTTAACTAACCTTATTGTGGTAATCATTTTGTAATATATAAGTATCAAATCATCACGTTGTACACTTAAACTTACACAATATTAAATGTCAATTATATCTGAATAAAGCTGGAAAAAAAAAGAAGAAAAACTATAGCTTGGAGATGTCAAGCCAGGGATTTACAGAAAGCTGATCCAGGCGATTGGTGATAGTCACAACCAGTCAAATGGATTTTCACTTCTGTTGGTTAAGCTTTGACTTGAGTCTGAACCATTCTCCAGTTGGATGACCATAAAAGGATGCTGGGAAGAGTTTGAGAAGAGACAAGGCAGTCTCCTTGGGCCTCCATTGTTCCCTTAAAAAAGGCAGCCTTGGGGACTCAGCATTCTGTTGGCTTTATTCAACTAAGACCCACAGTTGAGGGAGAAAAGAAGATGAGTAATGCTTGAGGAAGTCTTAACATGTTTGGGTTGAATATTTCCACCCTGATTATGTTTTTAATAGCCAGTCAGGGGCCTTTTCAGTCCTGGCTACCCTTTTATGGTATGCTTATGCAACCCCCAGAGCATTTTGAAATTAATTTCATATAAAGTGCAATAGACATAGAATGATTCTTGTGGGTTCCTATGGCACCTGTACTCCTATTTTAAAGTTGCCTTATTTGTCAGTATTTCCAGATAAAAGAAGAGCGTTTGCTATATCTTTGGCTATTTGAAATGTAGAACTTTTTTTTCCTTCCAAGTGACCTGTTATCAGAGGTTTCACTGGAACACACTTGAGAAAAAATGCTAAGTTATAGCTTAATACACATTGGCAGCTGGTGTTGAATTCTACCCTTCCCATATATTCTAACACTGCAGTCTTTTATGGCCTACGCATTAATGTTGTAAGGTCGCTTGGGACCTTTTTATGGCATTAGTCTTTGTGGTACTGGAAATGGACTTGCCTTTTAAGGCCCGTAACTACTCCCTGCTTTCCTGTGCAATTGAGGTTTTTAAATGGAAAATCTGAGTCCAAACTCTTTGACTTCAGCATTGGGAAAACATACTGAGAGGCTGTTGTTTAGATTGTAGGAGTTGGTGAAGAGGAAGAAAGGAAAAAAAAATCCTCTTTTCAGGTGAAGGACAGTATAATTAAGGCCCCAACCTAGACATGTACCTCTTATAGAAATCCCAAGTGTTTTTCTCTCAAACTTGGATTGAGAGGTGTACATGCTTTAAGATCATCTCATTTGCTTATTCTCTCAAACTTCTACTGGGGAACGTGACTTAGTAGGATTTGTTCCTCTAGAGTAGGGACCAGCCAACTTTTTCTGTGAAGGGTTAGATAGTAAGTATTTTAGGCTTTGTGGGCTGTCACAACTACTCGGCTCTGTTGTGTTAGCATGAGAATAGCCATATTCAATATGTAAGCCAATGGGTGTGGCGGTGTTCCAATAAAACTTTATTTCAAAAACAGGCAGTGGGCTATGTTTGGCTTCAGGACTGTCATTTACTAACCCCTCTCCCAGATGAATACCGCCACAAATGATAACCAGGTGATTCAAGTGATTGCCCAATGTGGCGATTATGTTCTCCAAATATCTTGGGAAGTTCTAGATTGAACTTCAGTGAACGCACTGTTAAGCAAGGATGACTGAACCCATAGAAAACTGTAGTCTTGAAGGATGAGGTGTTGTGCATGGCATATGGAGACCATTGGTGATTGTAGCTTGCCCCATGCTTCTGGCAGTATGTTCAAGGATCTCCATGTGTTCTCCAGGCACATCCGGTTGTAAAGTCCTCCCTTCTTGTACCTGGCTCCTCTTTTGAGAAACCTAGCCTGAGACTGTAGTCGGGGTGATTCCATGGGGCCTCATTTGCTCTTCTCCTGGTTGCTGTCTGTGCTATTCTTAGTCTGTTGCTTATAGGAGGGACTGGGTTCCCTCCCAACCTTTTACAGCCTCAAAACCCACACAAGAAGGCAAGTCACACTTTCCATGTTGACATGCCTGCCTGTTTTCCCCTCCCCTTGCCCTCTGGCTCTCCCTGCCTGAGAATAAACTGAAAGATGCTTGAGGATTCTTTTTTTTGTCCAAGACTTCAGGTCAGGTTATTGAATTCATTCACAGACTCAGGCTCCATCCATTGAGCTAATAGCCACCAGAGGCCAGACGGGGCTGGCAGGCATGGGAAGCAGTCACTGAGACAATCTGAGGTTTGACGTGTCTTGTTTTGATAGTAAAAGCTTTTAAGTACATTAAAAGATCTCCAAATGTCAAGAGGATGTGGGAAAGCTAATAAGCATGATGGTAAAGCGCTTGGTAAGTGTGCTGTGTAAGTGGTTAGTAATCAAAAGTAATGCTGTTATTTATTTGTCCACGGAGCTCAGGCTGAAGAACCTGGCATCTAGAGCTTCAGTTAATACAGTGGGTGTGAGGCTCTGAGCCAGCACACAGCCTGTACCTTCAGATGGGCAAAAGCAGAAAACCTCTTTTCTATTTTCTGAATCATGATACTTAACAGTGACCAGCTACCTTCTTTTGAGTTTTATTTCTTTGTTCCTTTCCCATTTGCATTGTTTTCTAAAACTTCCATAGGTGGACATTCAGTGCCCCACAGAGCTGACTCATCCAGCCCTCTGCTGTCAAGTTTAAAACAAATATAATTAGAAAACCTACAGCTAGACAACGTGAAGGTTGTAAATTAAAATCCCAAAGTCAGGGGAAACAGAGTGAGTCATCTATGTGTTGCCATGTAAAAATGCTCATATTTAGCTGCTCAACTAGTCACTGAAATAATACCACCAGACAGTCAGGAAGGTAGCTGTGGTAGGTGTTTGTGTGTTGGGGGGTACATGGCACTATGTTCCACCTGAGTGAATTGTCCTTTTTGGTTGCTTGGTTGATTCTATTTCCACTGTGAGAACAGTGGGTCGTGAGCTGATGTACCTCCTTCTAATTAGGGGTGTAAGGTTCCAGTGGGAAAGCTGGGCACTTACTCTAACAAAATTGAGCAATTCGGGGAGGACTGTTCTGGAGCAGAGAAAATGGCTTCATTTCCTTCAGAATTGTTTTGAAATATGTGGCCTCCCTTATCCCTATTACCCCAGGCAAGTGCTAGACTTGATGTTTTTGTAGTTTACTTAATCTGTGCTGCGTGAATAGAGATCATTTTTTGCTTTTCAATCTTTAATCTCCGAGTTGAATTTTCTCCACACATACCTAGAGTTTGGCAGTCTACATTATTTTCCAGATGGATCAACTCTTGATCCAGAGAGACATAAGTATAACTTGTGGCTGTAGATGTGGCTTAGAAAATGGCTTTGTTAACTGTTTCAGTCCAAACCAGGTCTTCAATGTCAAGGGCAAACAATACCTTGCCCATTTACTGTTCCACAAAATTGGTTTCTCATTCTACCACCATTTCCTGAGAAATGAATGTGCATAAATATATGACATTTCTAATTATTTTACAGGTGTTCCCCGCTATCCAAAAGTAGAGCATTCCTATGAAACCTTTCATAAGCTGAAATGGCCTAAGGCGAAGAGAATTCTCAGCCTTCTGAAAGTTCTCCTTAGGGGAATTGACCTAACACTTTTGGAAGGCGGAGGTGCCTGTACTACTGACTCAGTCTAAAATTACTTTATAGAGGGCAGGGTTATTTGTAAATCAGAGCTTTGGGCTGTCTTTGCTAATCCTTATATTTTATCATAGATGGGCTTTATATAGTCTAATTACATATATATTTTTTAAAGCAATAGTTACTCTGTAGTGAAATCCCGTATCAAAATGGGAGGAGTGGCAACTGAGATACCTTTAAAAAGTTTGCATCACTAAGTGTGCACTTGATTTGGGAAGGAGTAGGAGGAGTCCACTTTAGTCCTGCTGGGGGAACTTAATATGTTTACTAAACAGATCTGTTCATTTGCTAATCTCATATATTGTCAGTGACAAATATTCATACCAGCTATTTTTCTTTTCTTTCCTAGCAACATCCATTTTTCACCCTACACGAATCCAAAGCAACAGACGTGGCATCTTTTGTAAAACTGATTCTTGGAGACTAAAAACAATGGACTCAATCGGTTGACCCTCCTGTGGATTGGTGGGTGTATGGGGTGAAGCACGTTCACTAAAGCACCAATAGAAACTCATCTTTGAGATAATTTAACCCCGCCTGTCAGAAGGTTTTTTCTCCCCAGTTTTTTTTCCCCTCCAAAGGGGGCCTTGGAATCATAGTATAGAATGAACTGTCTAGATGGATGAAATATCATAAAGGCTTAGGACTTAAAAAGGTGATTAAATATTTAATGGTGTGTCATATGAGTCCTTAAGCTTCTCAGACTTCTCTTGTTCTTTACAAAATGACTGCATTGGCCCTGCTAAAAAGGTGCTACAGTAGTGATGAAATTATAAGTAGATTTGTAGTTTGTCCCACTGATTATTTTAATATTTATGTTTAAGTGCTTGGTTGGAAAGATTCCATTTTATGCAAGGAGGGAGATACAAAAGACAAGGTTGGGTTGGCAATATTTATAGGGCTCTTATTTTTTAAGTTCAATCGTGTCTGTGGTCCAGAAGAAATTATTTAATATGCATCTTTAAGAGTGTTATAAAAATATCAATAAGGAGCTCTTCTTGTAAAATATCTGTTCCAGCTGTTGTGGCTGCTGCCGTGTTCCCAAACATCTGCTCAGTCCTGGGTAATAACCACATATTTTAGGTGAAGTGGCGAGATATCCTGGTCATACTCTTTCTCCAACTTTGGAAAACAAAATCACTTTTATCACAGCTCAAAGAGTCACAGATTTGGTTCTCTTGACATGTGTGGTATAGTATTAATGGAATGTGATTCGTGATATGATTTTATATCATTTATCTTTCTATCTGTGTGTGCATGTGTGTGTATTTGGTAAGTCACGAGTTCTGCCAAGTGGCTCCTGTGAACATCTATATTTAGTAAGGAGGACATTTGTCAGTCCCGCGGGGAAATATCATGTCAAACCACACAGAGAATTGGTGCCTTCTGCTTTTGCCCCTCCTACCATGTAAAAGCCCCAAGGATTGCCTTTGTAGTCAACATACTCTGCTTTTTTTTGATTTTGTTTTTTTGTTCAGTGAAGAAGCCCTACTATTACTGGAAGGGCTGCAATAGAAAAAAATTAAAGGCAATTAGTAGTTCTTTGATAAGGTAAGGAGGTAAGGGAGAGGGTTGAATTAATTCCTAGGAATAGACTGCCAAATTTCCACAGGTTGGATTAAGGCCACATCTTTCTTCAGCAGTGTGCAGTAGCTACCTCACCAGAGGAGGCTAGCTCCATTGTGGATGCCCAGCAGGTTGACTAAGCCACAGAAGCTCTTTCTCGTGGCCAAATATGCCCATGGGTTCTCTGATTGGGGCTCTCAGTTCCTCGAAGATCAAGGAGTAAAGTGATCCACAGGGAAAATACAGACCGATAATAACCAGGAAATATTACTTTTGGACATTGTGTTAATACAAGGCTACTCCTGCAGTACAAGGGCAGAGGATTTTGATTAAAAAAAGAAGACGAGAACACACTCTGTTTCTTTCCTTGCCTCAAGTTCACAAATATGGAGGAAAGATTGCTCCCTTGAATCCTCCCCTTCTTCTCCTTTTAGATTTTGAAGTGCAATCGTGTATTTTCTGTTTGCATTTTCTCCTTGTTCTTGACCTCTAGCTCATAGCAGCTGCCCAGGGTGAGTATGGCCCTTCCGTACACTTCTTCATATTCAGTTCCAAGACGTACCCATTTGATTAAACGTCAGTTTCATTTGCTCTGAAGCTACCTCTGTCCTCATCTTTTTCCAGCCAGAAAAGGAGTATTATCCTAGGGATTATAGCCATTCACTTTCCCACTCACCTTCCTAAATCTTGGAAGTTTCTCTCTTTGAGACCGAGAGGAAAAGATCACAACTGTATTGCTTGGTTGATTCATCCATCTTATGAGAGAGGAAAGTAGTAGAAAAAAATCCGAGGTCATTCCATGGCAGCTTTTGGTGAAGTATGTAGAGCAAAACATCTTTCTGGTCTGAGTCGGGTTACTCATATCTGTTGTACAGTGTGGTTTCTACTTTGAAATATTCTTAACCAAGTGTGTTTGTCATGTGTAGGCCTCTCCAGGGCCTGAATTTGCAAAACAATCATATTGAGGTAGAGAAGGAGTTAGTCAGTGGTTCTCAACCCTGGTGCACATTGGAATCACCGGGAGCTTGTGAACATCGTCAATGCCACGGTCCCAGAGACTCTAATTTAATCGGTCCAGGGTGAGGCCTGGGAATTGGTATTTTTTACAAGCTGCTCATGTGATTCTGATGTGCAGGAGGGTTGAGAACATTGGTCTAGTACCTCCTAAGAGAGATTGATTTAAAATGACCTTCTCTTGAACATTTGCAGAGAGTAACAAGTGACTATAGACAGGAACAAGAGCCCCCACTTCATTCCCTGTCACTATCAGGGAAGACATGTTCCTGGAATACTGATTTGAAATTTGGGATACCTTTTCCCCATAGAAACAATGTACTACATGGTGATTAGGTGTCTTATGTGCTAAATGGCTTGATAGCCTTGGGTCTAAATTTTCTTTTTTTTTTGAGAACTGCATTATAAGTTCTAAGCAACTAATTTTAAAATAAATATAGAGATGCATAAGTTATATTTAAGATGATGTAAGTTGGGAGTCTCTTGTACATACATACATATATATATATATATGTATATGGGGGGGTGTGTGTGTGTGTATGTATATATATATATATATATATATATATATAGAGAGAGAGAGAGAGAGAGAGAGAGAGAGAAAAGAAAGATATCCATATCCAGGGATGATACTCAAAATATTTAATGTGCTACTGGCACAGACCATCTGAATATTAGCCCTGTCTATACCTATCAATGTATTAGAAAGTCAGTATATCTCTACAAAAGAGATCATGCTCTTTTTTCCAAATCTATTTGATTTATTATCATATAATTTTCCATATTATAAATTGTCTTTCTGTTTATAAAAATATCCATCTCTTTCTATATGTTGTTGATTTCAAAGGTGTGCCAAAAGATAATGTGAGTGACTTTTAAGACAATTGCTATATATATATATGTACATATCAATGAGTATTGCCCTTCAGAGTAGCTGCCTTGAAAGACTATATATTTATATGAATAATGCTAGTAAGATATTTTTGCCACTTCTATTTCAGAAAAGGCTTCAGAATCCATTTCCTCCCCCATACATGTCACATGTAGAACCATCATTTTCTAATTACTCCTTAGTTGTTTGTTTGTTTTTGCAAAAATCCTTACCAGGTATTTCCCTCTTTGGTTTGCTTGCCTTGTTTGTCAGACTTAGCACCAAGTTGTGCTTGACAATCTCTAGAAGTCAGATAGTCCTTTGGAGCTGAAGTTTTACCATCAGTGAGTCTTTTTAAAAGACCATGTCATGGGCTCTGAAGCTAATTTCAAATGTAGATTTCCCAAAAAAGTGTGCATTTGTTTTTAAGCACAGTCAACCGTCCTAGAATAAGTGTCGAACCTCCCCAAATGGAGACTTTAAAGGAGAAAAAAGCCACATAGATGTATGTATTTGATGATAAAATATCGGTCAGATAGTCCTCAGTTTCACAGGTGGCACTCATCGATTACCCATGATTGAAGGCCCTCATGTGGAGGAACAGTCTGTTATTTTAAGGACTGGGTTTGGTCACACTGACATAGAATGAACTGGTTAAATAAGCAGCTTCTATCTTGGTTAAGCCACCTGAAAATGAGTATATGTGGCTATAGCTCAAAATTGTTTGTGTTTTAGAGTTCTTGTATATCCTCCAAGCCTAACAAAAAGATGTATTTGCCAGAGATTCCTAAACTTTCTCTGTTCATGGCACCATTGCTTGTCTTATTAATTTTTTTTATGGTGCCCTAGGCCAAAATAAATACTTAATAGTTCCATTTAAGTAATTAGGCCCAAACAACTTAATAGTAGTAGGTTTCACGATGTCCTCCAGATGTTGCTGTATTTCCCTCAAAAATTTACAATATCTTATGGTGCCCCTGTGAGTTTGCTGTGGCACCTCAGGAGGTCTCAGCACCCAGTTTGGGGACCATAGGTATATGTTGTACTGATGTTTGCACTGTCTACAGTTGGTGACCCTCAAAATGGAATTCTTGGCCACTTAATCCTCTATATTACTTCACACTTTGTGTTTCATCATTGTTATTATTGTTTTTGCTTGCCTCTGGTTGATTAGCTTCTTAACTGAGGTCCTACCCTCCTTTGCTCTTCATCAGTCCTGCAGTGCCAGATGTCATAATCTAGAAAGCGAAATACTCATTAGCCTCAGCATTAGCGGAGGCTGGCACTCCCTGGTTTCTGCAAATGCACTTGACTTAGTATCTTTGGAATATAATCACAGAAGAGGGAAAGAGGAGATAATGTTTTCATAGTTTAACAGTAAAAATGCTTTTGTTGACCAAGGGGCTTCATCAGCTCTGCTCAGAGAAACTACTCTGTTTCTCCCAAAGGTGTCTAACAAAGCACTTTATCTTTGGCCTGAAAGTGCAAAGGATGCCTAGTTCCTGATTTCCAACCCTAATGCTCTTTTGGCCATGTAACTCCCTCTGACCTTGAAGGTAGGATTCATATATTCATAAAATTCATTGGAGCTGGTAGTCAGATCTTGTAAAATGAATTAAATCTCTATTGTGCTGGGGATTTTGCCTTCTTAATGTCTATATCTGACTTAAAGGGAGATTTGCTGGCTTAAAGGAATCTTCCTTTTTTATTGAATTAGCAAGTACAAGGTGCAATTTTCAATTGGATCCCTGAAAATTTACATATTCAAATGAAAAAGGCCAGAGTAAAATCTAGGAAGAGGAAGCTACAGAACCTGATAGAATAGAAAAAAGATATTTTATTCTAGAAGGTCCATGTTGCTCTTGTCTAGGGATATGTATGTGTGTGTGTGTGTCTCTGTGTGTGTGTGTGTTTAGCACTGTTAAATGCGCTGGCAGCTCAAGATACTCTTTAGTTTTCTTTGGCTTTAATTGGGGTATCTGGATTCCTTTGGGAAGCTGTTGAAAGCTAGGACCTTTTCCCTAGGAAAATGCACATTTTACACGGAACACATAGTTTTGCAAACATTTTTTGTTGAAGGGGAGTGGGGAGTAGAGTACAGTTTATAGACCCCATAGGATCTATAACCTCTGCTCTGTAGAATGTGGACTGTGACATTCTAGACCAGGGATGGGCACACTTTTTCTGTAAAGGGCCAGATCGTAAACATTTTTCACTTTGTGTTCCATATAGTCTCTGTGGCAGCTACACAAGTCTGCTGTTGTACCATGAAAGCATCCATAAACAATACGTAAATGAATGAGCATGGTGGCCATGTTCCAATAAAACTTTATTTACAAAATCAGACAGTGGACCAGATTTGGCCCACAGGCCATGGTTTGCCAATACCTGTCCTGAGACCATCAAATACAAAACTCCAATTGATTAACTATGTGTGTAGACTTTTTCCGTTTGTAAGTATTTAGCTCAACTGCTGTTGAGGTAGATTAGGAAGATGGACATAGGAAAATCAATTTGGAAAGAATGGGGACCGTTCAGTCCCTTGAAAATTGCCTCTTAATTTCCCCAGGTAAGTATTCCTTGCTCTGGAAGCCAGTGGGACAATTTTCTTCAGGTTAAATCTAGTACCTATTTTTTCTATTTCTATGCAATAACCAACATAACGTACTTCAACTTGGAAATAAAAGGCACCCTTCTCTTATTCATTACTGCATTCTTATCTCCTATCTTTGCATTTTGTTTCTCTCTGTAGTGTGATTTATGTGCAAGGAGAATCATGAACCCAGGCACTAATCATTTGGTTTCCGTTCTCCCTGGACTGTGTTAGGATTTGAGAATTTGGGAGGCCATACTTACCTCAGAAGCAGAAGGCAGATAGAATTCTTAAAATCTTCCAGTTCATCCACCGCATCTATTTGGCCATCTTTTGAGAAAGTAAGAAAGAATAGTTTTGAGTCAAAATACTTGTTCTCGGGTGGATTTAGATCTCTGAGCTCTCACTGTGATGGGAGACTTAGGCCTCCCCCTTGAGTACTGTCCCTGGACCTGGAGAGAGGAGGCTGCTTTATCTTAACTCCTTTTTTAATCATCAGGAAATTTCTATTTTAAGGGGCCTATGCAAAATTCCTCTTTTGTGATATGGTTGTCTTGGGTTACCAGCCGTGGTTGAATTTCTGGGCCCCAAAGCCTCTAAAGAAAGCTCTACCTTCCCTATGGGACCCGAATAATTTGCTTTGCCTTCTGTCGGGACTTGCACCCTCTTTGCTGTACAAATAACTGTCTGCCTGTTACCTAAGCCATCTCCATTTTCTTCTTCCAGAACAGTACAACACATCTTACTTAAGGCTATAGTCTCTTTATTATTCAGAAACATTTTATTTCCTGCTGCATCATCAGGCAAACATAAGTTACACTTAAGATGACACTCGGAAACTCTTTAGGAGAGCATATTTAAGTATTTGATCTGGCAATTTACCTAAAAGTATGTTTTCTCTTCACCTAGGGAAACAAAACCTGAATTCCAGAGCCTTCAAAGTGAAATTATCCTTCTGAGGGAAGCACATTGCCACCAAATACATCACTTACCACCTGTTCCTGGTGTCTGCAAAGAAGATGTCATTTTTCTGAGGTTTAGTGAGTCACTGTTGACAGCTATGCAAATATAATTCTACCATCGCAGGTTTCCTAACGGAGTCGTTTGGAATCAAGACTTAAGTTGAGGTTAATCTTTTCAGTTCCCGAGCCAAACTCCTTTGTCAAGCAAAATTTCTCTAAAAGCCTCTTTCCTATCTGAGGTGAAAGGACTGGGCCTACGTAGAAACACAAAGCAAAGTCAAGGACTTTGTTGTAGGGATTTTTTTTAAAAAAGAAACCAATATCACCTCGTGACACAAACATGTGTTAATGGAATTTAAAAATATCCAGCCTAGTTCCCTGGGACTGTCAGTATCTTGACATCATTTGTGTTGTCATTTGAACTAGGATGTTGAGCCCTTTATTCTTGGGAGTTTACAATTAGGTTTTGGGGGATTTGCATTGTATTTTTTTCTTATAGTTGTCCATGTGGACAGATGTCTTTGTGGGCAGTTAATCTTGACATGCATGGGTTTTCCCCAGTTACGTTTGCATTTCTGGGATTCAGGGTCTCTTTTCGAGGAATGAGGCTAATGCTTCTGTGACTTGGAAATTGAGTTCAGGGAAAACACGGGAAAGTTTAGGCGCTTACTGGTGTTTTAATGTAGGAAACAGAACTTCCTAAGTGATCCCTAGAGTCTGTGGCTTTGACCAGGCCATCACAGTCTTTTCTGGTTTTCTTGATTGCATTTCCTTATTATTTTTCTGCTGGTCACAGCAGATGACCTGGGCTGACTTAACATTTCTGTGGAAAGAAACTAATCCAACCATTTCTCATATATCAAAACTCAGAATCAACAATTTTGCATTGGTCTGCTTAAATGGACTCTATTGTTCCCAAATATTGAAAATGTAAGGGATATCTAAGAGAACTTTTAGCAAAACCCTCATTCAAAATATAAGACCTTATAATAAGAACTTCCATTTGGCCTTTAAAGAAGAGCAGCTGGGTTGGGTATCTATTCCCCTTAAGTAATATTCTGTTGTGGCCAGAAATGAGCAGTTAGCATTATTTGGTCACTACCACCGTTTGTATTGGAGTCTGCAAGCTATTTCAACAAAGCAAGTCAGACCACCGCCTTAGGGGATTGTCACTGGACTTTTTGAAGTTTAAGGCTGAACGATGATGTGAAATCATGTTTAGGGGCTGGGAGAAAAGATAAATGCAAGGAGCAGTGCTGAACTAGGCACTCCATGGAGGAACAAGCTGATAAAAGAAGCTGGCAGACAGATATAGTCCTTAACTTGTTTTCAGTATTGCTATAGAGATGATCTTCTGTGGGAAAACCCATCAGAAAGCCAAACCTTTATTATTTTTTTCCCTTAAAAATACTGAACCATAAGAGGATTCAGAGAGTGGCATTGATTTGGATATCAGAAAATTTTCTCACCTTCTTCTAGTGTGATTGATTCTTCAGAGTCGCCATTTTAAACTGATAGCACCCAGAAAAAAGGTAGATGATTAGATATACAACCCATCCATCAGCTACCTTCTGGGTGAAGAAAAATGAGTACAGAGTTGAGCCCCTTAATCTTTAGTTATGGTGGCAGATGTTTTTAAGAAAGATGGACACCAAAGCTTATCTGATGAGCATACTTTTCCACAATGCAGAGAACTGTGAATGTTTGTAGAAATACACTACGAGTCTTCACCAGAAGAGCTAGAATTTCTGATTTTAAAACAACACTCAAAGCTAGTTTGCATTTTCAGAAGCAGTGAGTTGTGAGGAAGAATTAGTTGTTTTCTTTTCTTTTCTTCTGATCTCAAGTTGTCTGTCCTCGCGTATGTTCAATACTTGGGGAGGTAAGAGTCAAGGATACAGAAGTGGTTTCCAGACTATATTCAGTGGTGTCCCTGGGGGTCTCTTATGAAGGGAAAGGGAAGAGAGTGTGATGAAGGTCAACCTTGTCCATCTGAAACCCTATCAACCTCCAATCAGAATATTTGGCTACCAATATTGTTCTCTTTAACTGGAAATCTCTGTGGCTGTTAAAGGCTTGGGAACTTTGGATGAAATGACAACTTCAGGACCCTAAGCAGGCCAAGAATCTGGGAAATTTTGTAGCCAGCAATGTCTGTGAGTCCCTGGCATTTGCTGTATTGACAGGAAAATAGGGCTTAGAGGCAGAAGGGCAAGAAGAGAGGGCCATTTATTTTAATTTTTAAGCATGAATCATTTGAAAGAAAACGCAAAATTTGTTACGTGATGGCCATGAATATAGATCCTTAAATTGGTTATTTTTCTAAAGTGATTGAGAATAACCTGATTTCAGTGACGAGGAGTGGCATGACTGGGCTTTTGATAGGCAGTGGAATTTCTAAATTTCTACATTTGCAGAGGCAGGAGTTATAATTTTTGTTCATTGACGTGTAGGAAAAAGTAAAGCTCTTTGGACAATTTTGGCACAGAGAAGGGTAGATCTGAGACTCAAGCTAACAGAGTTACCACTGCTGGGTTTTACAAAGATTATAGGTGGAGAAAGGTGACGGGAAGCTGGTTCAGCTGAGCCAGCTAGCTGGAAGATGAACCAGTTAGTTGGAAGCTGAAAACTATGATGGTGTATCTGTCATGAACTGAACACAAGGGAATGCTTAGACATCAGCTGAATGATATCAGGTGCCTTCTACACACACATAACGAGTCTGTGGTGAATTCTGATAGTAGTTTGTTTGCCACTAAACCAAATTCAACAGCTGGGGTTTCACAGCAGCCATTTTAAAACACTTTATGTGTCAAAAAGTTACGTTTGTCAACAATTTGTGGAGTTCTCGGCCAATCTCTGTGTAAAAGCCACCCGAGGAGGTGCGATTAAGAAAATTCAGACAATTTATCTGCCATATTACCCCTGTGTTTGATTTATTCTTTAGTCACAAATTTATTTTCTGAGTGGAGTGATTTTCTGTATGAACTGAGATGATGAAATGATGTTTTAATAAAATAACAGGTATTTTTAGAGGAAAAGTGTTTTCTTTATGTAATTAACTTCCAAAGTTGGACATATTTCCTACTGTACAGAATCATTGCATTGGGTCATTTTAAACTGAAAGAAGTGTTAGGGATGTAGTTCAAATTCTTTATTTAAATACATGAACATTTTTCTATATATTTTGTGAAAATCTTGATGAGATGCTAGATACAACTTCTCTATGAAATTGAACTTTACAAGAATTTTAGTAAAATAGGTGAGTTTCCCCAGCTTCCTTTGTGCTTGAGTTTCATTGCTGAAAATGCTGCTTCCATTTATTAATCTGGTCTTTGTAAGGAAAAAAAAACTACTTTTTTTCTTACGTTGTGTGAATTTTATGATAGCCCTTTTTTTATTTGTACAGTCATCCCTCAGTATCCACGGGGGATTGGTTCCAGGACCCCCGTGGATGCTCAAGTCCCTTAGTCAGCCCTTCCTATCGTGGGTTCCGCATCTGTGGATATGGAGGGCTGACTGATTGATTGTTTTCCTAGACTGCACCCCAAATTTGTTTTTAAGCCATGTTTGTTGTAAAGACAGCTGTTGGGGCAAGTGGAACCATACTTCGTCTTTACAATCCCTTGATGCTAGAATGAAGTAATTCCACATGCTACTTAGGAGCCCCTGCTATCTTTTCCTGGTACCTGAAATATTCTGAAAGGAGATCGGAGAGGTTGTGCACCCCTGTCTTTCCAAACGCATCTTCCACACTGTCTCTGGAGAGTTTGTAATAGAAGAATGACTACCATTTTGTGGATTGCCTCATCAACTGACTCCCTCATCTCTGTATAGCGTGCTGCTAGCTTTCCCTGGTGGAAATCATCTCTTCTTCATCCATTGGGATGCTTTTTCTTTATGAATGAGGCAGCCTGAACTGTAGAGTATGGAATTCATTAGAAGTTCATAAAGTAAAGACCTCTGAAGGATGTGGGTGGAATGTTTCCATGCCTTTGAGGTGAAGGTTAAATTTATGTTGTGGCCCTGGGAACTTTTTGCTTTTGAGTTGCAGAAGGAAAGAAGGAGTTGGGGGTATATACTTTGTATTTTCTATATGGAAATGTCTGGGACAGCTTTCTTAAGGCTAAAACATTCTTCATCATTGTATGGGGAAAGGAAAGTTATGAATATCAATTGATAACTTCAGTCAAGGTCCAGGATTGTATTTAAAAATACCTGTTTTGTAGGGAGGTGTGCCTTTTGTTGTCTTTGCGGTATTGGCTTTGGTGGCCCTCAGTGCATTTTCATTTTAGCCTAGCTTTCCTGTTATCTAGGTTGTGTGCATTGTTTTTCTTTTGAACTACTGCTTATTGTAATTGGTGATGTTATCCTAAAATTCTGAAACCAAGGAAATAGCTAATGTGCAGGACTTGAGGTAGATGCAAGTATTGGTGCTGATGTAGGTTAAGTTTTAATAGAGTGACCAGAAATATACTGAATTGAGGGATAATGTGGCTTTAAAAAAGTCATTTTTGTTTTTAACATTTGGAGAAGCAACCTGTCCTAGGTCCTTATCCTTGAGAAATTCATCCTATCGTGCAAATACCATTGGTGGAACATACTTAATAGCCTGGATGATTAGCCTCTATCAGTAAATAAACAAGGAATTATAATAATTGCCAAAGGTGGGGGTAATTTTGCCTTAGATAGGTCATTCTATGGTGAAATTTCCAATCAGAGTCTCTTGTAAAAAGCATAACTTGTAATTTCTCTCCTCTTTTCTGATCTAAGAGCATGGTAAAGGAAGAGTAAGGTTCTGATTGCTATGAAATATTTCTTTGAATGTGTGTTTTTGACCAAGGAAATGGCTGACATGTTGAACTGAGTGGTTGTTACATGGTTCATATGGTGACCTCTCTGGCTCCCCTCTCACCACCTCACAAGGAAAATGAAATTGGGAGATTAAATCAAACTTGGACTCCTCTGTTGATGAGGAGCTTACACTTTGATTTCCTATCTCAGGATTTTCTTCAGTTTCATACTGCTGCTGAGGAGGAAGGAACAAGCTGCAGACACTGTAACTGGTCTCCGGACGTTTGTGCGTGTGTATGTAAAACTTCACACCGTGTGTGTTGTGTTCAATGTTGTGTCAATCTATGAACTGACTCAAACAACAATTTGAAGATAGAGAAGACAGTGATAATGGCAAAACCACCTCTTTCTGTCCAAGTGCTTGCTATGACTTTCATAGCTAGGACGAGTAACATAAGTATTCAGGAGCAAGGTGTCCTTGAAAGAAATGGTGTGTTGATCTCATAAGAAAATGTACAACCAATAAAAGACATTTTAAAAAGTGCGGTGAGTCTGTATATTAATTGAGTTGTACATGGAAATCCTTTTTTTCCAGAAATGCTGCTTTTATGTGTAACAGCCCTGCAGATAAAAGCTTTGCTTGAACTCTTTACTCTGTTTTTCCCCCCATTTCTATTTCCCCAATTCTAAGACATAATGGAACAAAACATAACAAAACAACAGTATTGCCGTCTTGAAGACTCATTAGAAAGTCATCTCATCTGTAGTGAACTTCAGACTCAATATTCTTATAGTTAATATTTCTACCTTAGAAATGAAGGCCAATATTTTATTATTAAAATCAGATGGCTTGTGGTGGGCATGAGTCCAGATGGTTTAAGTGAAAAGATTAAGACCAAGACCTTTTGACTTTATGTGTTCCTGACACTGAACTATTAGGCCAATTAGTCATTCAAGTTTTTCCTGGTCATATATGTAATATACATAATATTAGGAAATTTGCTTTACACCATCAGGCAGTGCCACGATGCAGATGTTCTGGAAAAGAAACTGTCATACATCACTTAATGATGGGGATATGTTCTGAGAAATGCATTGTTAGGCAATGTCATCATTGTGCGAACAGCATAGAGTGTACTTACACAAACCTAGATGGTATAGCCTACTACACACCTACGCTATATGGTACTAATCTTATGGGACCACCATCGTATGTGGTCCATTGTTGGCCAAAACGTCGTTTTGCAGCGCATGACCACACAAGTAAATAGTTGGGTCTGCAGAGTTCTCTGATTTCTCCTATAAATCAGGATGAGTAGACCTATTTGACTCGTATTCACATTAATCCAGTTTAGAGAAGAATTGTTGTTAGTGCCCGAGTTGATTCTAACTCCTAGCAACCCTGTGTACGGCAGAGCGGAGCCCAGCCCTGCCTCGTCTTTTTGAGCCATCCTCTTACCTTTTGACGCTATATCAGACAATGCTCTGCTGCTATTCACAGGGTTTTCAAGGCCAATTTTTTCAGATGTGAGTGGCCAGGTCCTTCTTCCTAGTCTGTCTTAGTCTGGAAGCTCCACTGAAACCTATGCACCATGGGTGACCCTGCTGGTATTTGAAATACCAGTGGCGTAGCGTTCAGCATCACAGCAACACACGGCCACCACAGTATGACCACCACAGTATGACAACCGACAGACAGGTGGTGTGGTTCCCTGATGGAGAAGCGAACCC